CTTTGAATAAAACAAAAAGTACCTACAGAAGACCTACTCTATTCAGTGTCATGCAAGAACTATTTAATATCTGCTTAAAATAACCCGCCACTAACTAGTTAAATTGATTCGTGTCTAACAGAGCAAATCAAACGGACCTCAAAAACTATAGGCCGATCAGTATTTTGAACATCGAGCAAAAAGACAAAAGAGGGAATCTAATCCTTATGAAAAGGAGACCAAAAAAGTGGCCTCTGATGGCGAACGTATCCGGAAATGCGAATGCGCCAAATTTAAATTTTCCGACACTTATTAACAGTAGCTATATAATATTTTTCAGAATGTGTCTTAGATGAGAAAGTTTTAATTAATTATTAACGATAATAGTCTAAAATGCGACACAATTGCTAAAAAACTTCAATATAAATAAGATTTCATGTGACATTTGGGACAAACAATAACATAACCCAACTAAATTTGATGTCAAACAAGGAGAGAGACTCTCTTTCCTTGTTTAATGTGGCCTCTAAAAATCGCACTTCCTATCTAACAATATTTTTGTCCCCACTACCTTTACATTCCCTCTTTTATCTTTTTGCTCGATGATTTTGAACCACCTATACAAATTGTTTGCTCTGCTCGTAATAACTTATTGTAAATGCAAGACTAATTATTATATAAAGTGGAAGTGATCATTCAAATACAGGCAAAAAGCTTACACTTTTAGTTCCGAAACTACATAAACGTACATTCTGAACAATTCTGGTACAAATGATAAAAAAATAGAAGTCATACTTTTAGAGCGTCCCCCGTATCGAATTAGTTAATAATAGGTTACCACTCAGGGATATTACATACTTGATTGTAAGTGAAATAATAAAAATATGCTTTGAAATTAATAAAAAATAGAAATATAATAGAACAGAAAAATAGAAATGAGAGCTGTATGCTTTAAAAGGAAAATTTTAAGAAAAATTCCGAAAATTTTGAGAGTAAGTCAGTCTCTTGCGACATCTAGTAGGTTATTAAGTAACTTAATTATAGAATTCTATTATTTTCTTTTTCGGAAATTATATGTTTAAAAATAAACTGTTTTATTAATCAAATTTGATCGAGTAAAACAAAAATGTTTAAATGATCCATATAAATATAATTTAATTCACACGTTAAATATATTAGAATAATCTGTTATAGGCAACTATATGTACATTGTGTCAAAATGTCAAAAGCAAATAAAAAAGAAGAATTAAAATGGTTGATAAATAATGAAAATAGGGTTGTTAGAAAATTTGTAACCGGTTTAGAAGGAACCATATTTCACAGTAGTGGTTAAATCAAACATTATATTGATATATTTCTTTTTGGAAAATTAGATTCCTAACGATGGCTGACAAATTGGAAGAATTGTACCAAAAGTATAGTCGATTATCCAGTGCGGAAGATATTTCACAGGTTAGAACTGATACATGTGAATTTACAACAAAAAACTTATTTTGTTTTTATGTTTCAGCAATCTGAAGAATATGAGGAATGTATTAAGCATAAAACCGGTAGTGGAAGCGAGAAGAAATTGGTGGCTCAAATTATTGGTCAGTATTTCAAACATTTTCCAAAACTTGAAGAGACAGCTTTTGAAGCTATTATAGATATCTGCGAAGATAATGATCCATCGGTAATATATTAATTTAAAGTAGTTCGTAAACGTTATCAAATATGCTATGTTAGGTGTAATTGTTACATTTTATTATTTAGATTTGTGGTGATTGCTTTCTCTTTCAGTACCGTGCCCAAATAGGCGTGGGTAGCTTTTATGATTAATTGCCGATAGTGTTCTCGATCTTGCACGGCATTTAACAATTCATCTGCTGATAAGCTAGTCTTAAGTTTTAGGAGCCATGAATATTTCTTCCTCTCAATTCCTCTTTTTCCTTCGATATTTCTGTTGAGTATTAACTGCAATATCTAGTATCTGCTACCTCTCATTATATGCCCCAGATAATAAAATTTTCTTTTTTTACGTTTATCATCATCTTCGTCAAGTTTCCATCACATTGACCTAGTCTGTTAAAGACTTCTGTGTTTAAGATATGATTGCTTCTATATATAATATATGATTATCATACTTATATTTTGTAGTAATACCGGTTTTGTTCAAATAATTAAAGTAATTTTTGTTCATACAATAATAAGTAATAGAGAAAATGAAGTGTTACATGATCTTGTAATTAAATATGTTAGAAATATGAGATTCTTGCACTAAAGATATAATATAACTTGTATACTAGTTCAATGGCTTAATTAACAAAATTAATTCCATACTAATGAAATTTGTGTTTATTCCCAATGGTTGTCATTTAAATGTGATAATAAATAAAAAGTCTGTACTACAAAGTCTGGAAAATAATGCAAGAGTTATTCTAGTATGGAAATGTGGATAATATTAGTAGACTTTGTGTTGTGCGAAAGTTTATATGATTTACCAAGAATGGGTTGTAGGAAGATTACGTGAATATTTAATACTAAAGTATATTATAAAAGAACAAAATTCAAATATTTTTTTACACATAAGTATCTATAGTACATGATTTTCTAACTATTCAAACTACCCATATGTACAGTTTGTATATAGGCTTTCATCTTTAGTGTTTATAGATTTTTGTTACTCCTATTCATTTGGGTCCCATTCAAATTTCCTTCTCACATTGATGGTCTATGTATAATTATTTGATTCCCAGTCTCTAGTGCAGCACTGGTTTGTTGTATCTTTCATCTTTATGTATAATGTTTACATATTTAATATGTATGTATGTATGATTCTTGAATTATGTTTATTTCCAACATATTCCTATTTTATTGATTTTCTATTATGCCAAGTTTTTGCTGGTATATGCTATTGTGCTTGCAATTGCTTACATTTAGCCTTCATATGTCATCACTGCAGTTTTCTATGATCTATCAAAAGCCTTTGACTCTGTCAATCACAAAATACTTTTTAATAAACTGGAAAGATATGGTTTTAGAGGCACTGCTCCAAAGTGGTTCAGTTCATACCTGGAAGACAGATACCAGTCTGTATCAATCAATGAGCTCAACTCTAGTAATCTCTTTATTAATTGTGGAGTACCTCAAGTCTCTATCTTGGGTCCTATCTTTTTCTTGATATATTTTAACTACATAACTAACCTGGACATTAATGGCCAAGTGACTATATTTGCAGATAACACCACAATTTTTTGCCAAAACAAGGACTCTAAGGTACTGAATAAGATTATTAGTAGTGATATGCTAAAAATCTTAGAGTGATGCAAAGCTAATCATTTGACATTTAATTTTTCAAAATCCAAATTAATTTCTTTTAAGAATGATCTAAACAACATTACTCTGGGCAATGAAGGCATTTGTTTTGACACTGTAAACAATTTTGTAGGTCTCTATATTGATAATAAACTTAAATTTGAGCAACACACTGTATGTTTAAGCAACAATATATCATCGGGTTGCTTTGCAGTCAAATCAGTTGGTCATCATTTAGATTTTAAGATTCCAAAAAGTGTTTATGTAGCCCTGATTTAATCTAATTTGAGATATTGTATTGCCTTTTGGGGTAGCTGGTGTCTTCATCATTTCAGTAGAAATTGTATGCTACAAACCAGTGCACTTTGATATTTATGCAAGGTCAAGTTTGGTACATCATGCAGGCCTCTATTTCGAAAATATGGTATCTTGGCACTTCCTTGCATGTATATCCTTGAATTAGCATCCTTAATTGTTACAAAACATAAAGAGGATATTCGGACAGTTTCCCCTTATAACACTTGTCTAAATTATGCTATTACACTTCCACTTGACTCTTTTAAATTAATTAGTAAATCATTGATTTACACTGGTAAGAAAGTGTTTAATCACCTACTACTAGATATAAGATCCTCAGGCAATATTTTTGTCTTCCAAAGAGCAATCAAGAAGTTTTTATTATCTAATGGTAGGAAGATGGTTTAGATATTCCCACTTGATTTAATTTCTTGTTCATTTGGTGTGCTCACTTATTTAGAGGATACAAATGTTTTGTTGAGAAACAATCTCCAGAAAAAATCACTACCATCTGCATTATGGATTTGGTCAGAAAGAAGACCCACTCTTCTTCTACTTTGTCTTTAAAATTCTGGATTTCTTTGCTTGACAATTTCTGATCAGATATGAGGCTATGAGAGCAAGGTCTAACCAACATTTTGTTGATAATTGGGTTATATAGATTGCAATCACTTCTAATGACCTAAAGTTTTAATGCAAAACCAGTCTAACTAACATTTCCGTAAATATTATAACATAAATCTCTCCAGCAAGGTGATTTTGCGTTATAGAAAATAACAAAAAATTGAAAACACGAATAGGCTAACTTACGAAGATGTGGAATACACCAAAATTGTCCAATATATAAATAGTAAAAGAATGCAAGATAAATACAAATAAAACAAAACTACTCATACAAACCAGATCAAATAGACAGGCGCAACAACAACAATTTATAGACGATATAGAATACGTGAATAGATTCACATATTTAGGAATGGATCTGGTCGAAAATAATGAAGAAGAACCGGAAATAAATAGAAGGCTTATGCTGGTAAACAAAGCCTATTTCGCGATGGGCCACATATTCAAATCGCGAGACGTACACCGGAAAACAAAACTCCGGGTATATAAAACAATAATCCGACCCATAGTAAGTTATGGGTGTGAAACATGGGTTATAACACAGAAATCTACCAATGCATTAGACGTGTTCGAAAGAAAAATATTGCGTAGAATACTGGGTCCAATAAAGGAAAATAACAACTGGAGAATTAGATATAATAACAAAATATACGAACAATACACTGAACCAACACTAGCACAATACACTAGACTGCAGAGATTACGATGGGCAGGGCATGTGGCCCGCATGCATGAGAACAGAATCCCCAGAAAATTACTAAACGCAAGAATGCGAGGAAAAAGACCTGTTGGAAGACCAAAAAAGAGATGGGAAGACAAGGTAGATGAGGATGCCAAAAATCTCCTAAAAACGCGTTCATGGAAAAGAACAGCAGTAAATAGAGATGTTTGGAGAGGTTTAATGAAGGAGGCCAAGGCCCGGCTTGGGCTGTAGTGCCATTGGATGGAAAAAAATGCAAGAGTGCACTAACCATCCTCTTTGTAGGATAGACCAATTTTAGCTGCTAATTAAAGGTACATATCACACATTCTAACCTTCCATTGAATAGATTTTTGTATTGAGGTGAAAGTAGTGCAGTCCCATTCTTTTTAATCAGAGTCCATAATGTGGCTACTCATATAATATATAATATGTATGTAATATATACTCATATGTATGTATGGAACGAGACACAAGCATCACAAGGATCTCAAGTAGTAGAATCCTGTTTACTACATTATTTTAAAAATGTTTCAGAACCAACCTGGGACCAAGATTTAAGAATAACAAGTAAGCAAAAAAAAATTTTTTATATCTACATACCTGATGACTGGATAAAGCTAATAGTACATGCACGAAAGAAAGCACATTTTACTGTAATAAAGATGACAGAAAACAATTTTTAGTTAAGAAAACAATGAAGTTAGAAAGAAATATAATAAATTGCAAACTTGATACACAAAAAGCAAACATCCAGTAGTTACAGATTCAGTGGTTGCAATACAAGAAAACAAATCCATTTACCATTTACTACAAATACAGCAATAATGCAGGTGTTCTCTTTTACTAACTAGATATCAAAAAGAGGACAACAGGGGAAATACTTTAGCTAGATTATCTTGTATCACAATGGACATCCAATAGCTGAAGCAAAAAAAGATCTTTAGGAATTGCTTTCATTTATACCTCCAATACATCATGGACTTTACACAAGCACCAAAATAATAAGATCCGCTATACAGCCAAAAGAAGAGTTCATTAATGAGGAAGATTAGGTATTTTTGTTACTTTGTGTTTTATTAAAGCATATTTTGAACATTTAATTGTATTGTACTCTAAGTCTAATCCACATTCCTATCAAAACTTTTAAGGTTACTCTGATGCAAAAGGGGCTCTTTATAAACACAAGAAATAATTCTTTAAAAAACCTAATTTATCAAATAATTTATACTGTTGATACTCAACTCATAAAGTACCATATATTCAAGCCTTTAGTTTCCTGGTAATATCTAGATCATGAGTGACATTCCTTCCTCTCACTACATTGTTATTATAGTATTAGGTAATAGCGAGATTTTCCTTTTGTAATGTGACACCTTTATATTAAACATAGTAATCATATATTTTTTTCATATTTTTGCAGATAAGAATAAGTGCTATTATGGTATTGCCTATAATATGCAAACAATCTAAAAAACTTGTCCACAAAGTAGCTGATATTCTTATACAATTAATGATGATATTAGAAGATCAAGAATTTAATGTTACTTGTAATTCTTTGAGTCAAGTATTCAGGGCATACCCAGAAAAGACATTAAGTGTTTTATTTGTTTACATATTGAAACTTAAAGACAAACCCAGTGCCAGAGAGGATGTGGTTAAATACATATACAAGAAGTTGGTAACATTGGATCCAAAGATTACAGCTATATGTATGGAGTTACTTATAGAAGAAGGGAAGAAAATATTAGAGGTAATCATCTATTTTTCTTAAAAATGTGGGATGTTTCATGTAGAATGCACATTAGATTTATCTGAAAATAATCCATTCTGACACAACCAACCCCATGTAAGTCATAGCTTCCTCAAAATCTCTCCATTCTTCCCTATCCATCATCCTCCTCTGCAAGACTGATGTTTCTCATCTATGTAAACTATATATAATACTTACAGTTCACTTTAGCTTCTGGAAGAACAGAAATCACTGTTATCTTTACAATACTATATAATAGAATTGACCATTAAATGAGAGTATCGAAAGTGATAGTGACCTATAAATATTTTAGATATGCAGATCAGTTATAATTGAAAGTGGTGAAACATGCCAATTTTAAACATTTTATAAAAATTACATGCAATGCCTATGTTTCACTAATGTGTCACATGTTTTTCTCTATCGCATTTATGGAATGATAATTATCACTTTCTTCTAAAAAGTAATAAATTATTGTCAACTCTTGTGCTAAAAAAATAAATACATCTTGGACACTTTTTACAAAATCCCTTTTAATGTAGTTGTTAATGTGGTGGGAAATTTTGACACATTAACATTGATTTTTAAGTGGTTTAACACTTTCGATACATTAATATTTTTTCATCAAAGTGACTGTCTAATGCCACACACTATTTAAAACTAAGAGATGGTGGAACAAGACGTGAGGATTTTGACAAATGTCAAAAATTGTTAAATTGTATCCCCTTTGGAACAAAAATTGGCCTGTCATACATTGATAAACATCATCTTATTGTTAATATTTTGGGTTTTATTTCAGGATTCCACTGTTACAGAGTTTTTAACTATAATCTCATTTTTAACAAACACTAAACTTACACAAACAACGGCTGGACAACAGGAATTGGTTAGTGCAATTGCACAGAGAGCAAAGCTGGACCAAGAGTTTGATGTAGAAGATCAAGGGACCTGTCATCGACTGATAATATGTACTGAACACGCTTTACCACTTTTCAGTGTAAGTATATTTTGAATATTAATAATAAATAATACATTTGTGATCTATAAATTAAACAACAGGTCATGGGACAAAGTTCTGTTTAATATTCAAATATGGGTAAAGGCTTAATATGCAAGAAAGATGTAGCAGATGATAAGACTTCTTTCAAGTGTGATGGATGTAAGAGGGCTTTACATATTAATTGCTCTAGTGTAACAACCACAGAAGTAAGATATCTTCAAAAAGAGGTTAATCTTTGTAAATGGGTTGTAATGGGATTTATTTAGAAAACCCTTAAAAGGGCCACATCAATAAAGCAAACGTTTTCGGACCACACAGTCCATCATCAGGTTTTTAAAATCGAAAAATGCCTAAAAATAAGTATAAACCATTTAGTTAAAACAAACGAGATTGTGAAATTTTGACTATGGTTGAAAAGCAAAAGATGGTTATACTTACTAGGTCACAATGCCTGAGCCACCAAAATACTAGGGTAAAAACCCTTTAAATTACATTTAGTTATGAAATATTGTACATTGTGTTGTAAAATAACTGATGTTCAGTATTAAATTAAATTTGACTATAGGTAACACATGGCTCAATAGGGTTCCAGAGCCGGTGAGAGGGAACCTCTACACTCGGAGAACAGCGTGGAACTGATTGACAAGATACTTTTGAAGGATGAAGATAACAGAATGTCAATGCAACAAAAACTATAATAGTTGTACATAGTATTACTACAGCCAAAAGATTCAACAAGTTTTGATGATTTTAAAAAAATAACAATCTAGGTGTTGGGATTTAAAAACTTTTTTATTTATTAATTTAGGGTATAAAAGATGTCAAATCAATGATGGTTTTATAGTCATGATTAATAGAATAACCTGTGCCTTAGGCAACTTATGTTGCTTTTCGTCGTATGGACTGTGGTCTAAAGTGTATTTAATATTGGGTTAGCTTATATATATGAAATGTATCCTTTTATGTTTAACACATCTAGGACAAGGTAAAAATTAAATAACAAATATTTGAAGTGTAGGCTCCGTTAATAAATAATATTGTTCTAGTTTTCTTAAGTTTATTTAGCGGAAAGAAACACTAATTGTACATAATTCGACATAATAGTTTTCATAACATTCAGATGGCCATAATTCATAATCACAAGTGTCAAGTCTAAACATAAAGTGTGTGGTTATCTTCTTTTTTTCCAAATTGAGTGACAATCAGATCTGTCAATGGCGCGAAATTCAAATAAGACTACAGTTCGGCCATCCTGACACGTCTGATCGTCCTCGATCAACCTAATATTACAGTATATTAATTACATAACTAAGATATTTAACATTCATGACTTTCATAAGACATAACATAATGGATATTTGAAATGAACATTTTCCTTTAAAGTTTAAAACATACAGTAATAATAATAATAATTCATAATGAGTTAAATAAACAAATCATAATAATCATAATTCATAATGGTTTAAATAAGCAAGGCATAACATTCATAATAGTTTAAATAAGCACGACATAACATACATAATGGATTGAAGTGTCCATAGGGGTACAAATGGAAATCATAATATCCATAACACACCCTAACTGTCTCGATGTAATGGTACAAGTAATGGATTATAAATAAGCATAAACATAATTGAATAAAAATTAAACATAATTATTTTAACCCTAACTAATAATGAAATTGATTATTTATCATAAGCTCTAATCCTACTACTGTCTATAACTCCCTCATATGGTACTTGTGTTGTTTGGAACCCAACAATATCATTCACAATATACCTATCATTTGGTAGCTCTTTCACAATCTCATACGGTCCTCTAAATTTTGGTATAAGTTTTTTAGCTACTCCAGGGGTTGTGTCTACGTTGGAAATCATAACATATTGCCCCACCTTAAACTTTTGAGCCTCCTTATGCTTCTTGTTATAATACTGTTCATTTACATTTTGTGCCTTAATTATTTGTGCTTCTGCCTTAGTTCGAATCATTTCTAAATCCCGTTCTTCCTTATCAATATCTTGTAATGCTTCTCTTAAATTATCCCTAATCTTTCCTATTTGATCTCTTCCAAAAAGTAACTTAGCTGGGGTTTCTCCTGTTGATCTGTTTATTGTATTATTGATGCAGAATTCCACTTCATGTAATGCATTTGGCCAGTTGATTTGTTTTTCATCGGTTATCTTTGCTAGAAGAGGTGTCAATAACCTGTTCATGCGTTCTATTTGCCCATTGGCTCTCGGACAACCACTTGCAATCAGTATGTGTTTGATTGTATACTCCTCCAAAAATTTCTTAAAATCATGAGAGGTAAAACAAGATCCTCTGTCTGAACTGATAACGCTCGGTACACTATAATTGGCAAAATGTTCAGTTAAATATTTAATTACTTCTCCTGTATTTGTTGATTTGCAAGGATAGAACTTAATAAATTTAGTAAACCCATCAACAACTTCAAATATATATTTATTCTTATTAAAAGGAGCTAATGGCCCATAGTGATCAATATGAAGCATTTCAAAAGGTAAATTGCCCTTAGGTATACTATGTAGATATCCTTCTGATTTGCCACTTTTAGGATTGAATTCAATACACTTTAAGCAATTTTGAATATGATTTCCAATCTTAAATTTTAATTTTGGAAACCAATATGTCTTGGAAATAATTTCAAATGTTTTGTCTGTTCCGAAATGACCCAATTCATTATGATAGTGATAGATAACTGCTGACTCCATACTCTCTGGTACATAAAATGCAATGTTATCTTTCAGTTTTCTATATACTAACCCATTTCTTAATTCAAAGAAAGGATGATCTGTCTCCTCAAGTCTTTTTCGAAGATCTGAAATAACTGTATCCTTGGACTGTTTTAAAGCCAAAGTTTGTTCAATAGTATTTCCTTCTAATACCAGTACATAACTCACTCTGCTTAAGGCATCTACATGTTGCATTCTTGTATTTACTCTGTGCTCAATAGAGTAATCATAATTTTGCAATAACAAACACCATCTCATAATCCTTGGAATTATATCCTTTTTACTCATGGTTAAGCGAAAACTGTCACAATCTGTAACTATTTTGAAAGGGATTCCCTGTAGATAAACATGAAACCGTTTAAGTGCATACACAATACTCAAGCATTCAAGTTCGTAGCTATGGTAGCGAGACTCATAGTCAGTTGTTCTCTTGCTAAAGAAAAACACTGGGTGAAATTTGTCATCACTTTGTTTCTGAAGTAAAATTGATCCATAGCCTACTTGGCTTGCATCACAGTGTAGTTCTGTTTCCCTACTCGGATCATAAACTGCTAAAATAGGTTCTGATGTCAGTTTTGACTTCAAATTCTCAAAAGCTTGTAAATGTGTCATTGTAAATTCAAATTTGACATTTTTTCGTAATAGGTCATATAACGGCTTGGCGATGATAGAGAAGTTCTGTATAAAACGTCTAAAATAACTGGCAAGGCCTAAGAATCTATGCACCTGCTTGGTATCTGTAGGAACTGGATACTCTGCAATAGCTTTCACATTATCTTTATTAGGACATATACCATTTTCATTAATCCTGTAACCCAGAAAATCTATTTCTGTTTTCAAAAATGAACATTTATCTAGTCTTAACTCAAGTAAATTCTGGCTAACTAATATTAAAACTTCTCTTAACACTTCTAGATTTTCTTCGATAGTCTGAGTAGCAATTAATATGTCATCAAAATATATTAAAACATTTCCTTGTTGGCACAAATCTTTAAAAATTTTATTAACAAACCTTGCAAAAATAGAGGGACTTGAGCTCAAACCAAAAGGTAATTTAAGAAATTCATACTGACCTGAAGGTGTAACGAATGAAGTATACTTAGTACAACTTTCATCTAAAGGAACATGGTAAAAAGCATTTTTCAAATCCAATTTAGAGAAATATTTCTTATTCTTTAACCTGTCTAAATGATCATCTATTAGCGGCAAGGGAAATTGATCTCTAATAAGATATTTATTTAAAGTACGATAGTCTACACACATTCGATATTCATTTGACTTCTTCTTGGTTAATACTACTGGTGAACAGAAAGGTGAATCACTTTCCCTAATGACATTATTTTCTAATAAATTAGCAAGAATTTCATCCAATGACTTTTTCTCTGCATAAGATAGTCTACGTGGTCTGATACTAAAAGGTTCATTTTTAGTTAAAGTAAGCTGTGCTTTGAAATCACACTGTGGTTTTAATGGTTTATCATAATCAAAGTAATATGACTTCAATAAAGTTTGAACACTAGTAGTTATTTCAAAAGGTAAACAATAATTAATATTCAAGTCTGCATCTAAATTTACCATATCGTTAATAAACAAAACATCTGTAAAAGGAAACTGATAGTCCTCCTCTGTTTGTACACAAGAGTTTTTATTTATTTTAAAAGAACCATTTGAAAAACTTATATTTTCTATGGATTCATTGTTTATAAAATCTCGACCCAAAAGTAGATTCCAACTAAAAGAATCTTTCTCAACAACATAAAATTTTAAATTTACTGATATGTCATCAAAAATAACTGTGTCATAAAAAAACCCTAACACTTTTAAAGGAGATTTATTTATACCTGAATAAGATTCAATATTAGTAGAAGAAATAATATCTTCTGCCTTTACAAAATTTTCTGATATCAATGATATTGGACTCCCTGTATCTATTATACCATTTAATGTTATGCTATACTTATCTAGAACCAGGTTTAATACAAAAGGATCCGTTTGGCTCATAGGACGTTCCACTAGACCCATGGCTCCATTACTATCTCGGGTAGTTGAATCTGCAACTTGTTGCACCACTTGCTGGTTTCTATTAGGACAGTCTCTTACCATATGATCTTTGCTTCCACATCTAAAACATGATCCCCTATCACGCTTGGCTTGTCTGCACTCTGTCACTTTGTGTCCGGTACGACCACAATTAAAGCATTTTACAGGAACTGGCATCCGACCCTGTGTTGCTGTATGAGGTTGGTTCTGGCTAGAACTTACCCTATAACTTGATGCTGTAGCAAACCTTTGTCCACTTCCTGATACCTCATCTTTAACAACACTCCCCATTAACTTATATAAATCTTCAGTGCTATTGAGTGTGGATAACATCATTTTGGCTTGATTTTGAAGTAGGCGATCATCAAACCCATCAATCAGATAATGTATCATATCTTCATCCTCAACTCCTGCTTCGTTGCCCAGTAACAGTTTGTCATGGAAATATGCTGAAAAGCTTTCACTCTTTTTCCACCTTCTAGTCTCCATCTTTCTTCTCGACGACACTGGATCATAAGTTCTCCCATACATTCTCCTAATTTCATTTTTTAAACCTGTCCAATCTGTGGAAATTAAATTTGGTTTGCTGAGGTACCATTCCTTCGCTTTTCCGGTCAATTTTCCAATGACTAACAGTTGTAAAATATCAGTTGGAACATTATACACAGTTTTGATTTTTTCTATTCTTTCTAACCATATTGCAACATTCTGGCTTTTGTCTGTGCCTGAAAATTCCGGCATTAAATTTGATAATTCACTGTTAGTAATTTTTATGGGGTTATGTGTCGGCATCTGATTTTCTGGACCGGCAATTTTCTTTTTCTCTTCATAATCGAGGATTGCCTGTACCGCTGTATGAACAATTTCAGCTATACTCGCCTGAGCGACGGTGTTTCCACTTGTATTCATAGATTAGAGGAGGGATAGATAACCAACTTCTGTACAAAAAAATGTTGTGATCATCAGCGCCACGTTGGAGTGTTCTGGTACTAATCAATATTTTTATCATGTTGGAGAGCTTGCTAATTGACAAACGCCTTGTATAGTTGGTAATATTGTAAAGTTGGTAATATTGAGAGAACTCTCATCCTGTTTATATATTCGAATAAATGTGACAAATTAGTTCTGACAGTTTTCAGAGACATTAAATTAGACCAATAATTTTCATTTAATCAAACTCAAAACATGTAGTAATTAATACATAATATTAAATTAATATGCTATGAGAGTAGGATTCATAGAAGCCTGTACTAACTTCTAACTTAACTTAAAAAAAAAACAAATATCCTTATACCACGCCTTAACTAAACAATTAATATTCTAATCCTAAATACGATATTCCTTGATCTAACAGCACTTTTAACTAAAACACAAAAAACAAATATTGAATTAATACTTAATCATCAACATCAATTAATATTCGACATTCGAGAATTATGACAATAACATTCGACAGACGCCAGTTATGAAGACATCGCTATTTTAGCACAAAACATTAATAATGTTTTGTGATCTACAGAATCTACCGATAATAGCGCTTGGTGGTGTGTTCTGTAACTAATTCAATGATTACATTTTACGGATTGAAGTTGAACCCCCCTGCTTGTATTTTCAATTTCGGTGTCTGATCCCGGCATGGCTATCGTCAATACTAAACACAATTTTTAAATCTGCAAAAATATCGGCGATCCACGTAATCCCACTTCTGATTCTGTAGGCTCCGTTAATAAATAATATTGTTCTAGTTTTCTTAAGTTTATTTAGCGGAAAGAAACACTAATTGTACATAATTCGACATAATAGTTTTCATAACATTCAGATGGCCATAATTCATAATCACAAGTGTCAAGTCTAAACATAAAGTGTGTGGTTATCTTCTTTTTTTCCAAATTGAGTGACAATCAGATCTGTCAATGGCGCGAAATTCAAATAAGACTACAGAAGCTAATATCAGACCTCATATTTAAATGACTTTATTTAAGACTGCTCCTATGGTGAAAAATTTTAAATTCAATCACATATGTTACTACTTTAATTTCTTCAGCCTGTAGATTTCCATCTTACTAAACTTAATTTTATTAATTTTTCACCATAGACTGCTCCTTCATAACAAAAATGAATATTATATTTCAAACAATCTATAATCCCATTCAGAATCTGATTCTTGAAAATCAATGATTACATAGATGTGTGGCTGGTATCAATTATATCCTACATTTCAAGAAAATGTCGTGGTTCTAAAAAGAACCGTTTTAATACATATAAATATCCATAAAGGTATTAGTTTAAGATATTTCCTCAATATCATTCCGGAATTCACAATCTGATTCGCGAACGACAGAAACTGAAATAAAGATGTCTCAGCCTCTTTTTCTAATTGAAACCAATTTAATAATTTTAATATTAGTGTTTTTTCATTCTCGGTATATCTCGGAATATTTAAAATATTTTTATGACAATAAATACAAAATTTAATTTTCACTGTAGTTAAAATGTCTGAAAATACTAACCTGGAATGGCAATTATCATTTTATCAGTTTACATTGTGAAAGTACTGTCACTGTCATTATCAAGATCATCTGTGTCAAATTATATTTATATGCATAATTGATTGGATATCTATTTAGCGTATTCTAAACTCCAACCAATTATACGTTCGTAAGTAGAATTCGCTTTAATATGCGAATACCCGTGAACGATACCTAATTTTCTAAGTTCTATGTATAATAATCAGCGACTCACGTTTTTTCTGTCACTTCTAGCTTAATGCGTTAGAGAGAATTCGAACAACTATGACGCACTGAAAGAAGGGTTTGGGACGGACTGTAACTGAGTACCACATATGGTACTATGTCAGTCAATTTGTTAAACACAAAAGAATGGCGAAGATGGAGATATCACAAAAGGAGAAGTTGAATAAATATTTAATTAGTCAAAAATGGAAAAAACCATTTATGTGTGACCTGCAGAAGATCTTTCTGTATCAATAGACCTATTTGTTATATTATGTTATTGTATCGTAATAAAAGATATGCATTTTAAACACTCTTTATTTTAGGCATCTGTTGAGTCAACAGAGTTCGTAAAATTCTACTGTCAAGAAGTATTAGCAAAATGGGATGCGCTAGCTGACGTAAAAGATGGCGAAGTATCAGTACAACCTCAGCTTTTACGACAACTTGCCGCACTGTCTGCTTATTGTGGTAAATTGGATACAGCATCTCCTTATGTTGTACACATTTTTGATAAATTGAAGGTAATGTATTTTTTTTTTTTTTTTTAATATCATAATTCAGCTTTTTTAATCGATCATTTAGTATGTAGATCAAAACTAACCTTTACTGAAGACTTGCTCAAAAACTTGATGGCCATGGTTTAATCACAGTAGGGATGTTGACTATATTTAAAAAAATTTTATAATGTGTAGGTTACTTACCTAATATAGCCCACAATATTTATTATCGGTTTTAATACACCTTATAACAATATAAAAATGATGCAACTTATATTACATCGTTTCTTTTGTTTATATCTAAAATGTAAACGAAGGTGCAGTGTAAAAGTGTTACTTCTTCTGGACTAAAAACTGTACATTTGATTTTCTTATTTCATCTATAACAAATCATGGGTAAACAACTATTTCGCCGATTTGGCGTGAGGTTAATTACCATTCCTTTCGGTAATGATTCATAATAAGCACCAGGGCTATATTTAGGTTACTTAGACCAAGCATGAAAATTGCCAGAACTTTCCACCATGGAGAGTTCTTGCAATTTACTTGTAAATCAACCATCAACATTATACTCTACAGCTCCTAATCCAACTACAATACAAATAAATTTCCAAACAAAAAACAAGCAATTCTACTTCACTCACTTCCAAACTCTAATATTGAAGTTTACCTTAATGCAGTAACTTTTAAAGTGGATCCCAGAAAATACATTCTATTTCTAAAATTATAAACGATCCTAGTTGTATCTTCTTTACCAGTGAACAGACAGTCAATGAGTTTCTAGCAAACGACAATGTAATTGTAGTAATTAATCAAGAACATATTCAAGCCCGAAGATTAATAACTCCAAATGAATGACTGATTATATATAATGTATGTCCAAGTATTTCGCTCAGCATTATAGAAGAACAACTGAAAAATTTAGGTATACATCTAGTAACTCCAATTGACTTTCTCAGGATAGGAACTTCAAATCCAGCATTCAAGCATATCTTGAGTACAGTACAACAATCATAGAAACGGCTGAAACGACTAGAAAATCATTACTTCCCAATCAAATAAGCACACTCCGATAAACCGCGACATACCCAATAAGACTCAAATGGATACCTTAGATCAAGATACATCCTCATCCCTGCACTCTAAACGAAACGTATCTGAAATAATATCCCCCTCAATAAGAGATAACGAAAATCCCTTCGCTGAACTGAAGCCAAGAAGCCAAAAACCAAAAACTCAACAAGAAAACTCCAATAATCGATACTTAACACAGGAAGAACTTGACTTCTGTGAAAATGCTCATGGTTCTTCAGATCTTCTCAGTGTCAACAGAACTTACTCGGGAGGATATCGCAGGATTGATAGACTTCCTAAAGAAAATACATCCTATGTTAAGTCCAAGATATTTTAAATCTTGTTCTAGAATTATAAACAAAATTACAGAACAAATTTTAAGTAATATTTCTACCGATGATCCTAGCGATTCCTCTCCGGAGACTTAATTAAACTATTTTCAATTCTATTATTCAATGGAACCTAAATGGGTACCGTTCGCGTCATAAAAGACTGGTACAACTCTTATAATCAAAAATCGTGTTTTTTAAGTTGTGCAGGTTGATCTTCTTGTCACATGTGTCATTCTAATGACACATGTGCTCTCGTTATCTAGATTGTCTAAGGTGTACGTAGTTCTTTCTGGTTTTTCTCTGTGTTCTTTGTTGATGTCTGTTTGGTTCCTGTCTACGAATGGTGTATATATTTTTCCTATTATCATACAGTGGTCCGAGCCAGACTCTGCTCCTCGATTCACCTTTATATCCTTTATTCGTATAGAAATAAGAAAAAAAAAATAAAATAAAAATAAACTAAAATAAAATAATATACAATTACAATAAAAGCTATCGCCCCTTGCTTAGACCATAAGAAAGCTGTGCTTCCCCTCGTCGGTCTCTTCCGAAGTATCACATCCCGTTTTTTGTAAATATTAATATAAATATAAATATTAAGTTTCAATTTTAGCGTCACTACAATTAGTGTTCTAAGAATGGTTTATTCTTTTAGAGATACATGCCCCTACCACCAGAAGATGGAAATATAGACGATATGCCAAATTTAGACTTCACTTCTGTAGAATGTTTACTATACGCCTTCCACAGGCTAGCAAGACAGTCCCCTGATTTCCTGACAGCAGATCCAGCCGTGCTTAGAGATTTTAAATCTAGACTAAATTACTTTTCCAGAGGAGTGGCTGGTTGTTTACGATCTCTCGAAAAAGTGCAGGATAACGAAAAGAAGGACGATAAAAAAATTAAATTGGCGCCAGTAATGTTGGCTAACATCAATACTTTGATTAAAGATTTGCTTCATCAGACTCCTATATATAAATGCAACATTCAGTTGTCATTTAGAAGTGCCAATAGTAGTTCTAAGAAGGTAAGTTTTAGTATATTGTTGCAAATGTACAGCTAAACAGATTTAACTGCAACGGTGATGATTTGACACGAACAGACACGACAGACGTTGGTTGATCTGGTGTTGCCTATTCTAAATTCACAATCAAGATGCACTAGAAATAAACAAACCAAGACACTTAAATGTTACGAGGAACCCTCCCGAATCATGATTTACAATGTATAAACCTTGTAAATCATGATTTGGGAATTATACAATCTATATACATTGTAAATAATTATTTCAGAGTGCTCCTTGTAACATTTAACATGTCTTAGTTTGTTTATTTCTACTGCATCTTGATTGTGAATTGAGTATAAACGATTATTATTTTTGAGCTATTGAACTGTAATATTAACACATTGCCTGCCACACGCCTTTCTCAAAAAGTTTCATGGGGCGCCACACCAAAAAAATTGTTCAATTCCTGGAGGCCATGTCAGACAGATATGACCGACAGAAATTTTTACGGTGAGGCCATGTCGGTCATATATGACTGACAGGATAGCTTTCGAATGCCCTTCTATAACTCAAAATTACGTGAGGGTATGTGGATTTTTATATACAATTTTGTTGTTGTGGCGTCCAGTAATACTTCATTAAAACATTGGTGGCGCACCAAGAAAAAATAATGAAAAATTAAAAGAAAAAAATAGTTTTTATTTTTTCCATACAAAAGTGAAACAAAAACAGGAAAATATAAATTTATTACATATGAATATTTTTAAAGCAGTCCATGCACATATAAGGTTGATCAGGACAACCACAGCAATAAGTCATTACTTTTTTCACTTTCTTTCTGGCTTCCGATTCTTCTCTTGGTTCTATGTCTAACCAGTCTTTCTCTGAACTTTCGTATTTGCATCTTCTTTTTCTTTGAAACCATTTTCATTACCAGGTAAGCATTGACAACACTAATGCCGAGAGGATATTCCATGGCCAGCTTCCTGAACCACTTTACCCCTTTTCTTAAAGTTGTCGCGTAAGAAAACATTTGGTCAGATATGTCTATGCCAGATTTTCCTCGATTATAAGCTACTACCATACTTGGTTTTATTTTAGTTTCCTTTCTCTTCTTTTTCTTAAGTTGTTTACTAGTTGATGGTGTCGATGTAGTTGTGTTCTCTTTATTTTTTGAGGTATCGATAAAGTCAGGAGCATGTTTGGTAGACAGTAATTTTACGTCACGAGTGTCTCGCCACTTGAGAATTACTATTCAATTTTCGTCTTCTCTACTTACAGATTCACCTTTCTTCAGTTTTTCATCATAACTTCTTTTGGAAAATGTTTTCTTGAGGTCCTAACTGTACCGATTAAATGCTTGTTTTGATTTAAGAGGGATAAAGCTAAGGGGTAACTAGTGTAGAAGTTATCAACAAACAACGTACGACCTTGATTTAGAAGGCCCTGCGACAATTTTAGACACACATGATGACCTAAATTTGTATCAAATGTGTCTGCTTTGCCTTCATAAATGCTCGTAGTCCAGGTATATCCATTTGTTGCACAAAGTTTGAATACTTTTATCCCATATTGGTGGGCTTTATTGGGAATATATTGACGAAAAATTAATCTGCCTCTGCATGGTACCAAAATTTCATCAATAACAAAGTTCTCACCCGGGGTGTACACATTTTGATATTTTCTATTCAATGCATCAATCAAAGATTTGATTTTATCAATATGACTTAAGTAGGTGTCTCTGGATCTGTAAAATGTATAAATTTCAGCAACAATTCATATCTGTTTCGAAACATTATTTTAGGGGCCAGGGGAATATTATAAATACTCTTGGTAGACCAATAAGCTTGAATATTTCCTATCTTTACCAGACCCATCCATAAAGTGAGGCCCAGAAATTTTTTTATTTCAGTACTATTCGTAGGAATCCATTTTGTTAATCTAGACCCACGTTGTATTCTAGTGTTCTCGATTACCCTTGCTGCATATTTATTTGTAAATTCCAGTTATTTATAATCTCATCATCTACAAATAAGCAGTATGCCTCATAAGCTGTTATATCTTTAGGGATGTCAATTTTTAGTCCAGAAGGCCTAAAAAATTTTAATTATTTATATTCATATTCAGAAAATTATATATATTCATATTACCTTGAAAAGAAAAAGTTTTATGACATCCTGTATATTCTGACCACTGGGGATTATAACTGTGAGGATCGTTTTTATTTTCTGGTTCTAGAACATTTATTTCTGAAGCCTCTTTATCTTCATTTTCTGCCTCTTCTCTTTCTTCCTCCTCTTGCATATAATGTAGTAATGCCTCAATACTATCATTGCCGGGTTCTTCTTCAGAGGGAAGCCAATCTTCGTTTGAATCATCTAACCCCAAATTATCATTATCATGTAATTGATCATCTTCATCACTTTCTAATAAAGCAGCTTCCCATTGTTGCTCTGTCAAATACTTTTGATACTTCCGCTTGGACATTGTATTTTTTCAACAAAGCCAAATTGTAAATTAAGATAAAAATACCTATTATTTTCACAACAATTAACCTTTAAATCTTCTTCTTCTTCCTTTATTGGGTTATATCCCAGGGGATAAAGTAACCTTTAAATCGTCACGTGAATGCTAATGACATGGCCTCTACCAAAATAAGTTTCCGGGCAGGCCACGTCAGTCACAATTGGGTGACGATTTTAAATAAACAAAACTAATGTTTTTTACCATGCAATAATTTTTTGCTGTGGCCTCCCACGAACTTTATCAGAAAATGCCAGTGGCCCCCAGTGAAACAACGCTGTCACTCATATATGACCGACATGACCTACAGCAAAAAATTTCTGTCAGTCAAATTTGGGTGACTTGGCAGGCAATGTGTTAATACTCCATAATTACTGTAATGAGTTTATAATTATTTTATTATCAGAGCACTAATATCAAAGTTAAAATGTTTGAGGTAATTGATAAAATATGTTATTTGCTGAAGTTATTAGTCATAATCATTAAAATTAATTACATGAATGGAAGTCTATTAAATTAGAAAGCTAAATTTGTTTCATACTGAGAATTGCGATATTTAGTTAAAATAAATTGTTTCCAATGGTTGTGGAAATAAGCTTATAAAAATAGATTTACCTACCTGTTTTTATTTTCAAATATACTAATTTTTTGTATGATGTTTCGCAAATAAAATATTTTTTTGTCTTCTCTTGATTTTTCCTCTGTAAACATGTCAACGTACCACTGAAAAAATTTACCGATTTATACGGTTGAGTTAAAACAATTTGTTTTAATTTGAAACATTAAGTTTCCATTTCCATGTAAACTGTTTTTGTGGACTCTTGATTGTTTTCTCCCTGACTCCTCATTTTGTACTATTACCTATATAAAATAACTTTCTATATGTCACATTTGATAGGATAGACTCGACTGAACTAGGTGTAGAAAATATATTTTTTAAATATAATATCTTATCAACAATACATCGCTCTGCTATTGCTGCGGTATATCAAATGTCAAAATGATCAGAAAAAATAAGTCATTTCATATTTTTTTAGGAGGCAGATGAACCATCAACCGTTCAAAAGAGACACACTCCTATACAATTTGATTCTAGTAACGGTTCCAATAATAAACAGATGCGATTTAATAAAAGTTCTGAAAGCATGAAGTTGTACAAGCCACCTAGTGGGAAATTCAGCAATAATTTCAAAAGTTACAGTAAGTAAACCTTTATGTATGAAAATAAAATAGCTAATTTAAACTGCAAAACCTCGTAAGTATGTTTTATGTATCATTTTATGTAAACCTCCTGTATGTTCACAGGAGAGACGAAAAACATTTTGGCTTCTGTATTTAACATTCAGTTTTTTCATTTTGTGTGTGTAGGTTTCTTTTTAGGTAACTAATACATTACCATTAAGTAAAATTCAGTAATATTGTTTTTTTTTGTCAAAAAAAAACCACTTACCAGGTTTTGTCTCATAAAAATCCGTCCGAGGTTTTGTAATTAAAAACTTACTTACGAGGTTATAAAAAGCAATAAATTAAATTATTTTTAATTAAATTATTACATTAAAAACACCTATAATATAAAACTTGTAAAAGATTCTTAAAAACGAGAAGGGACAATCATTTTTATACTTAAAAAGTAAAAAAAATCAAAACCAAAATTGTTATAGTTTATAAAACTTGCTAATATTCACTATTGATTTAAATTTTGTTCATGAGAGAGATTGAATAATAAAAAAAGTGAAAATTGTGATAGTTTATAACTGGCTAATATCTACTATTTACTCATGAAAAACAAACTCAAAAAATGTCGAAAGTCTTTAGCAACAAAGTTTTTAAGATCCTGCAAATCATTAAATTTAGAAAGTGTTATTTTTGGTGAAGTCTTCTTCTTCTTAAAGTGCCTATCCGTTCCGGATGTTGGCGATCATCACGGCTATCTTTACTTTGTTCACTGCAGCGCGGAACAGTTCAGTGGTAGTCGTGTTATACCACTTTCGTAAATTTTGAAGTCAGGAAATGCGTCTTCTTCCCGGTCCTCTCTTACCATTTACCTTCCCTTGGAGAATCAGCTGGAGAAGGCCGTAACGTTCTTAATTTCTCATTACATGTCCTAGATATTCCAACTTTTTTTAGTTTTGAAGGTCATGATTTCACATTCTTTCCCCATTCTATGCAGGACCGCCACATTAGTAACTCTGTTAACCCAGGATATACGTAAGATGCGCCTATAACACCACATTTCGAAAGCTTCGAGCCGATTCATAGATGCAACAGTCAGTGTCCACGCTTCCATTCCGTAGAGCAGAACTGTGAATATGTATCAGTTCAATAGACGGCATTTTGTTTTTAATGATATGTCTCGACTGTTGAAAATGGTTCTTATTCTAACGAATGCTGCTTTTGCTTTTATTATTCGCTGTTTAATTTCTGTTGAGTGGTCCCATTGGCTATTTAAATTGGTGCCTAGATATGTATATTGCTCGACTCTTTCGATATTCTGTTGGTTGATTGTAAGTTGAGCATTTAGTATTGGTTTTTTACTAATTGTCATAAATTTCGTTTTCTTTATGTTAATAGCTAGTCCGTATCTGTTGCTGACTTCTGTTATGCGATTTTTTAATATCTGTAAGTCTTTCAGAGTATCGGCAAAAACTATAGTGTCATCTGCATATCTAATGTTATTCAACCATTCACCGTTGATTAGTATTCCTTTCGCACAACCGTCTAAAGCTTCCTTAAATACCCATTCAGAATAAATATTGAATAACAATGGACACAAAATGCAGCCCTGTCGTACTCAACGTTCTATTGCAATTTTATCAGTTAACTGGTCTTCTATTTTGATTTTGGCCGTTTGATTGTAGAAAATGTTTCTGATAATTCTAAGATCTTTGTTGTCAATTCCAATTTCTTGCAATAGAGTCATTAATTTGTCATGTTTTACTCTGTCAAATGCCTTCTGGTAATCTATAAAGCATACGTATATGTCACAATTCACATCCCTGCATCTCTGAAATAGCACCTGTACAGCAAAAAGGGCCTCCCGTGTTCCCAGAGCATCACGAAATCCGAATTGTGTTCTTGTTAGTTGTTCCTTACATTTTGTATATATTCTTTTGTGAATGACCTTTAGAAATGTTTTAAGTAAATGGCTCATAAGGCTTATAATTCTATAGTCTTCGCACTTTCTCTCATTGGGTTTTTTTGGAAGATTTATAAAAGTTGACACTAACCATTTTTTGGGGAATTATGCCTGTATCATATATATTGTTAAATATATTTGTCAACCATTTTATGTCATCATAGTCCATAAGTTTTAAGAATTCTGAGTGAAAATTATCAGGGCCTACTGCTTTACCATCTTTGGTGCTTTTGATGGCATATTTTACTTCTTCGACTGTAAATGGTAGTCCAGATTCGCAATTGGTGTTTGTTGTGATACCAGTGTTACTTCGTACATCTTCAAAAGTTTTTTCCACGTATTTAATCCAAATATCCCTTTTATGCTCTATTTCCAGTACTATGTTTCCCTGATTATCTGTCAGGAATCCAGTGTTCTTGTGTTTATATAAGCCTGCCGCTTCTTTAATCTTTTTATGGAGGTTAAATTTAATGATTCATGATTTCGTTGTAATGACTCTATCTCTGTACACTTCGAGCTAAACAAATTTTCTTTTGCTATTTTAATAGCCCTTTTTATTTCGTTATTTATGTTGTAGTAATTCTTATTATCTTTAGCGTTTCTTCTGTCTTCCATCATACATAGAATCTCCTCCGTCATCCATTCCTTTTTCTTTGTTCTTTCAGGTTTTAAGTATTTCTCTGTTATTTCTTGACTTACTTTGTGCAAATTTTCTAGTTCTACATCTGTGTTAACAATTTCTGTACGAGCCCACGGTTTTTCTGTACGAGCCCACGTTTTTTTCTTTTAGGCGTTTTTGTACCTTTTCCTTTACTGTTTTATTTTTCAGTTGTTTAATATCGTACTTCGTAATTTTTGGTCTTTGAACTTTCTTTAAACTAAGTTTTATTTTGGTGGAGTAGGATATGATAATGGCGGAGCATTGTTTGCTTTTTCTTTGTTTGGCCGTTAACAGTTTCCAGTCGTCGTTAATATAATTTGTATTCTATAAGACCATTCGGACGACATGCTAGACACCTTAATTTTGTGACGGTGACCTTTTTTTTACATGGACGAGTTGAGGGGTATGTTTCAATGTGGAAATAATCTTTAAAGAAATGATGATCTAGGTAATGAACATCATAAAGGTGATGTAATTTTGGATTTTTACAAATTTGCACATAACAGCCACGTACATAAATGTCTCTATTTTTCCGCTGACGCTCGATGCAAGCGTCGCACTCCATTTGACTGTGTCCTTTTTCCAATTAGTTTTGGTAAATTTGAATTTTTTTTTGCTGCTGCAAAATTGGATAAAGCTCAAAGTTGAATTCCTGTTGTGGTAATTGCAGCCATCAGAAAAAAATAACTTCTTTGGTTTGTTCTGTTACATACTTATCAATCTGATGAATGACAATTGATGTGAAGTGCTCCCTTATGCCAGATGTAACAGGCACACTTATTTGATGCTAGATTAAAAAAGCACAAGTTGTGAACAAGTTTCTTTTTATAGTATGAAGCAGATACTTGCAATTTTGGTGCACTTAGCACCGTTAGTAAATCCATAGTGAACAACAATTTAGTCGAATCGTTTCTAGTGGACTATTTCAGTTTTTCCTTTTCTTGACTAGCAGCATTTTTCTAAGAATACGTAACTGATAATCTTCATTATTTACATCCCACCATTGTTACCTGTGCAGATGTCACACTGGTCCTTCCTTAAAAAAAAAATGATATATCGCAGGCAAAAAATAACGATACTTAAATAAATTCTTACTTTGGTCTAAACAGAGACAAATTTTGGTCCTTCTTGAGCGATTCTTTACTTACTGTGAAAATATCAAGTAAATTGATGCATTAGGACGTAATTCGGAGCCAAATACTAGTATATTTATGTAAAAATCTAATAATCCTAAAATTATAACCTTTTGAAGTTATTTTTGAATAACCAGATCTCGACTGGACTGTTAACACTTTTTATCTTAATATTTGGTATTTTTTAGATCATCCACGTGGCAGTGGTAGAGGAAGAGGCGGAAGAGGAAAGAGAGGTGGTTCGAGAGACTGGAATTACTAAGATTTTTGCAAAATTTTTACGTTTATTCAAACTTTCCATAGCTTTGAAAAAGTCGAGTTGCAACATTAATAATTGATGGAATAGCGTTCACGTTCTAGTGAGTAGAACTATTAACGAGTGCGCTCTTAAAAGTAATGAATTTTTCTATCGTATTTATAGGTATTTTTAAAAGGACCTTTTCAAAGGAATTTGTTACGTCCACTCCTGAAATCTTTTACCGAAAAAATTCTTGTGTTTTTGAAATTATCTCCAATTTGAAGTAATCTTCCTTAACAAAAAATCAGTAAATCAGTATTATAGTTGATTCTTCTATCTAACCAATCCATGAGGTTGACTGTATTGTGTTTGGTGTATTTTGTTTCGAAGTTTGTCCAGCAAATGTATATTTAAGAGCGTAGGCGCAAAATTTCGGGCCAATGCTTTTTACATGCATTCATTTTTTTCGAATCCTGAGAAAACATAAGTATTTTGGAAAAATTTAAACGCAGAATGTATATTTAAGAGCGTAGGCGCAAAATTTCGGGCCAATGCTTTTTACATGCATTCATTTTTTTCGAATACTGAAAAAACTAATAAGTATCTTTGAAAAATTTAAACGCAGAATAAAAGAATAGATTAGTACTGAGAGCCGAAAGTCCCCGAAAGCTTCTATAAGTGTTTATTTTAATAAGTTACAGGGGTGAAAAAGAAGAGAAAATTTAGTGTGATTTTTAATTTCAAATATCTCATTCAAAAAAACGTTTTGTTTATTCTAAGGGACTTTCGGCCCTCGGTAGTAACGTAGTATTTCATTCTGCGTTTAAATTGTTCAAAAATATTTGTTAGTTTTCTCAGTATTCGAAAAAAATGGATGCATTTAAAAAACATTGGCCCAAAATTTTGCGCCTACGCTCTTAAGTTATGATAAACATGTTTGTTTTATATCAAATAGTTTGACCCAAAGCATATTTATGAAAAATTTCCATTATATGTTTACTTACACATGACATATTTCACCATGATTTGGTCAAAGATGTCATGTTTAGCGAATAAGTACCAAACTGGAAGGTTTTTCCTTATGTACTTACTGAACCATCCGACAACCCTTTAGGTAATCCGTAACTCATGTTATGGATTCAATATTTTTTAAAATAAAATACGATAGAACTCTCATTACTAAGAATTCACTTATTTCACTTTTTTTCTAGGTAAAACATGTACGATTTTGTTTGACGTAATATATTTTGTTCTATGACATTTTTCTTTTATTTTTTTTTGCAAAAATCAATCCAGGTCAAATATTTTTTAAGAGAAATTCATGTGCTTCATTATTGCTTCGTGAATCTATAATACACAGCATACTTTAGAGAAGTTTTCTCAGGACAATCCAGGTAGGCTTGGTGTAAAACCTCATGAATCTTGGAAATATGTGTAAAAAATTGTTTCTTAACTTAATTAAAAAACTATCCGTTTCTTTTAGGACTGCACTTGAATCATTCCGTTAAAATTCTCTATTTTTAATATAAGATTGATGTTCACTTATTCTAATATTTAATGGCATTGATGTTTCACCTAAATAAAACTGATCGCATTCACAAAGTATATTATAAATGCAATTCTTTGTTCTTTCTTGTTCATTGTTAGGTTTATTATTAGACAAAATAGATCTGAATGTGTTGTTTTGAATGTGGTTAAAATGTTTAATTTATTTCCTAAATAATTAAAATAAATTGAACATTTCAACAGCCGCCCCTGCAGTTCAATGTTTTTGTATTTTTCCAATAAATATGAGAAATTGTACTTACAAATTAAGATCCTGGTATTTTTTGACTCACTTCCTATGCATTTACACTTTCTTACTTTCTAATTACTCTGACACTCGAGAAACTTTTTAATTAATCAAAATAATCACAAAATTTTACGAGCATTCATAACACGTGTTGCTAATTCAATTAGAGACCAAATACGCTTCAAGTGATTGATGGTGTATAAAACATAATATCTAGCTGTCATAGCTTATAAGTAAACTGTTTTTATAATTTGCTCAAAATTTGAAGTAAACTCTTCCGATTCTATATTTCCCCACATTTTATGCTGAATCCGAATCCATTATCAGTTTTTCTCTATTTGTTACTTTATTAATACCCAGATGGACATAGGACTACACAAAACTATAGGATAGCCTTTTTAAATTTTAACATTTTGATTAAATTACTTTTTTTTTATGGGATAGTTGTAAAAAAGAAAGTAAGGTTACTATGATTGTTCGCTTTGTATAGAAACGCTGCAGTAAAAATATATTCAAGGTTTTATTAATTTTAATTTCTCAAAGTAAAAACATGGATATATAAAAAAAATCAACTTCTTACGAAATAACGGTCAACATTAGGTTCGTTAGAACAATAGTATAAAATCTGACAAAAATATCTCATTTGCATTCGGGGGAATGAAAGATAGAATAACTTTTTTGTGTAAAAGTAATATTTAAACAGTAAAATCGGTAAAACAAAAAGAATGTATTACACATAAATAAGCGAAATAAACTAAAAAATTGTCTTAAAAATTATATATGTATAATATAATTATTTAGGTACAATATTAATAACAATCTGTTCTTTACATAACTATTTTTTAAGAATTATCACCGTAATCTCTATCACCCACGTTGATTCGGTCAGGGGCAGAAGTAACGTTAAAACCTAGAATTCGGGAGTCCACCTTCAACATTTTTGATTTTTTGTTTTTCTTGTTTTTGCCCTAAAAATAAACAATGTTTAACAACACATGTTTAATAACACATTAATATACAAAAAGCACAAATAACAATACATTAAAAACATGTTCACAATTGAATGTCTCTACCCCGAATAAGGTTGTAATCCTCAATAGTTCTGAATCGGTGTTATTAGCGGATTAAGATTGTAACAGTCATTTCTGTTATTCGCGATTGAAACTGAATGTAGAGGGCAGGTCGATTGCAGTGTCATGGCCGATATAAATATAAATGGTATAAACAAACATAACAGTCGAATGTTTACCATTGCTTTTCCAGGTTTAGTTTGGTTTAAGACGAGTTATTTATAACATTTAAAAATGGAAATTAGCCTTAATGATATCTTTGAGTATTGTGGTGAAGCAATTTGTCCAGTGGTTGAAGGGGAAGCAGTTTTCAAGTGATGAATTCCTAAATTTTAACTTTAATGTTTCGAATTGGCTTGTGTATTGATGATGATGAATCCTATTTTGTGTATACCTGGGAACCCAGAATATATATTCTGTGTAATGTTTGTCTTAACTAATATATGCATTATTTTATATTATACCTTATATTTTTAATACGTTAATTTTTATTTTATACTATTTTTTGACATATGTAAGTACTGTATTGTATATTAACATAAATAAATAACTTTAACTTGACTTTATTTTAAGATAGTTCATTTGATTACATATGTTTTTCAGTTTAGGAAAGAAATATGGAGGACCAGAACAATATCGATTTGATTTAAAATACTTTAACGTAGTCACAATGCTGAAATTTACTAAAAAAAATTAATAACGTTTATACCACTTTTAGTAGTTTACATTTATTCCGCCAGAGGTCAGATACTGTGTTTTCAATCGCGAATACTGGTATGCAATATCGCACCCTGAGATGACAACTGTTGTAAGTTCCAAAATAACCATTTTCAGGTTATGTTTGATTGTTATGTGATTTAAAGAGCTCTTGTCAATGAAACACTGTTGCAATATCCAGCTCCATCATTTAAATGCTATTTAGCCAACAACAGTTGTTTTAGGTCAAAAAGATGCACAGCTTCTGAATAGAAGACTTTTGTACGTTACATACCACAGATTCATTTAAGGAAATACCCGTCTTATGTATGTAACTTACTACAGTATTCACTTAAATACTTCTAGTGGAATCGAATGTGGCATGTAACATACAACAGTTTGGCTCTAGGATTTGGAAGTTACTGCGCAATAAGACCGCTTTTTCTAACCTTATTTTAGTTTAGTTAGGTCTTCTTGGTCTGTGTTTCACACTTAACAGCGGCCTAGTATTAAAATTATTTACAATGAGATGTAATAGTTGTGGAAAAGATTTTTCATAAATTGTAGTAAATTGATGTTGCATTTATCACAAATGATTTGTGAATCAAGTAACTTAGTTTAAAAAAAATCTTCTGTCTGTGAAGCAAAGTTGCTCTAAGGATAAAACGGTAAGTTATTAATTTATTATATTAGAATACATTTTGTTTCCGTAATTCTATCCTGTCCGTTATTTGGTACATTAAATATTTTTATTACTGTTGTTCGATGGAAATAGAACCATAATCCAGTTACTGTAGAGTTTGATAAGGACAACAGTATTTTCACTGAAAAAATCATTACAGAGGTAAATCATTAAAAATTATTTTTAACAATAAATATCTTTGGTCCATTATTCATTCTGTTTTGATGTAGGATACATCTGTCTTGGAGGCTACTGTAGATTATCTACGAAAGCAAGTTGGTATTTATTAATTTTGACAATAATCAAAATTATTTTCCTTGTGGTATCATTCCTGAAGATGTAAATGAAAATTTAGTAGCAGATGCAAATGTTGAATTAATTTATAATTGTTATCGTTTTCAGTAAATTTACTTACTAAATGAAGATTTTTTCACTTTCAGTTCATACAGTTAAAAAAAGGAAAAGAAATGAATTCAAGTGGGCAGTCAACACTAGAAAAATAATCGTAATTCAGGTAAAGCTTATGTTACACGAAAAAAGTTATTGTTGAACAGCGTCAAGTGAAACCTACATGTACAGAACGGTGTAAACTGAAGTGTTCGGCAAAATTTAATGATGACCAACGTCACGAAATTAATCGAAAGAGCTGGACCTTTGGTGATTTGAAAATGCAGCGAACTTTTCTGGTTCAGAAGACATTGAAGAAACCTCCATCTCAACACAGCAAACAGATTAGGTGCAATAATTATAAGTATGTGCTACCGATAAATGATAATGATGTATAAGTGTGCAAAATTTCTTAATACGTTTGGGATCAGTGAAAGGTATGTCTATACCGCAGGGAACAAAGTTGATGAATCTAGCATTATTTGTGATGATGAATGTGGAAAACATCACAGCCATGGCACTTTACCTCCAGATGCTGTAGAGTATGCCAGACAGCATATTGATTCCTTTCCAGTAGTGGAGTCTCACTATCTTCAGTTGATAAAAAGGTAAAACACTTAATATTTTTTTCGGATAACTACTCAGCTCAAAATAAAAATAAATTTCTTGCCACAATGTACATTTATGTTCTACAAAACAGTAAATCTCTGGAGACCATAACTCACAAATATATGACAGTTGGTCACACACAGAATTCAGGTTATTCCATGTGTTTCTTCATTGAATGTCAGTGTAAGAGAAGTCTCAAGAGTTCACCTATTTACACACCTTCACAATTTGCTGGTAGTCAGTGCAGCAAAAAAAAACTGGAGATCCTTTTGTTGTGAAGGAATTACACTTCACTGATTTCTTTAATTTTAAAAAATTAGCTGGAGAATTTAACTTTCTCTTAGCACAGAGAAGGAATTTAATTAGAGATTTATTTATTTAATTAATTTATTTATTAATTTAACCATACTCTTCTAGTAGGTTGTATGGGCATTAGGGTAAGGTATAGAAAGATAGAAAATCCCAAAATGAGTAGACTATCACTGGAAATACAAGCTTAAAACTTCTAGTGGTGATGTGCCCGTGTGCCGTCCATTTTTGTTGACTTATATCAAGTAGGATTGAAACGTGTAAGAATATTACAAAAAAAATTGTTGAAAAAACTCCACTTGATGAAAAACGTGGAAAACACGGAAACTAAAGAAACATTTCAGATGATGTTTATTCTACGGCTTTAGAACATTTAAAATCTATTCCATATAAACCAAGTCATTACACACCTGGAACAACAATCAGATTCTACTTCAACAACCCAGACCTAACGATTAAGTTTCAAAAGTTGTTTAAAAACACTACTGGGAATAATCTTACCATGAAATACAAGACCCATTTCAAGTTTTTCAGAGAAATTAATTGTTCGTTCAAAAAACAGAAGACTGACACATGAATGCTTGTTTTTCAAAATAAACTTTTAGCAGATAGGCCCTTCTTCTAGCTACATCAATTGGTGGCAGAAAAATCACCTGATTTCATTTTTATGTGAGCATTCAAGTAGGGCCGCAGCGAATAAGGTTGTAACATCATTAGAAATATTAGACATGGCGGATGTAGCACGTGTTAATGTAAGTGTGGCCACATAAAAGAAGTAAAATAAATCTCGAAAAAGAAAAATTAGGCTTAGTGAGTGGAAGGACAATAAAAGAAAAACCCTAAGAGACACCGGGACGCAATGTGTTTCCAGAAAAGGTGCTGTTGTTCCTGAAGAAGTACCTCCAGTAAACGTAAGTACAGAAAATTGTATTTATTTCCTGATTGTTAAGTAACTAAATAGCTCTATATAAATTAGGTTAACAAGGTTAATAAAGGTCATTTTTAAAATGGAGACAGTACTGGAGAATGTCAAAGTATATATTTTTAAAACGCTTGCATAAAAATGTATGTTTAATCCTAACTGAAAGCAACTTTTAAGTTTTAACTATCAAAAATTAATTTTAATAAAAAATAAACTGAAATTTTGTTTGCAACGCGTTTTGCTTCAACGCGTTTTGTTTGGTTGCAGGCTAGAACAGTCGTTGTAAGTATTACTTAGTGTTACTTACGATAGACAAACAATGTTGTTACGTCAATACATGGATTTAGTAGATGTGAAAAAAATAAAGAAAAGGGCCTACAACGACTACGTTATAGACCTGTTGTAAATATATTCTCTAGGTGTATGGAAAAATACGAACTTTCCAATTATTCTTCGGACTCTTCACATTAATTGCAAATAATTAGTAAATATAAACCAACTTGCCTTACCTTGACCTCTTGGAATTCAGTACTATGTTGCAAGGATGGGGTAATAGCTGGAGCTGGAGAACACATATCGTCTTTGTGAGCATTATTCTTAGGTTTAAATGAACGCCGTTTTTCCAAAAAATTCACGGCAAATTGGTGTGTGGCGTTGTTATCTCCTAAGTATTCCTTACAATATTCCCTAACGTCGAACGCTGATTCGATATCTCGTAAGAAAGTAACAAAAGTAGGAACTGGAAATAATAAAATTACTTTAATATACAAGTCCAAGCAATTAATATAAAAAAAATAATCTTAAAATGCTGCAAGTGTTTCAACACGATTTCAAATGAAATCGTAGGCTTCCACGGCCATAGTCAGAATTATAGTTTATTCGTCTTCCGGGTTTGGACCGTGTCATTTGTGAGTGACCCAAAAGTGGGTTCATCTCGACGTTTCGCTACAATTGTATGTAGCTTCTTCAGGAGAACAAAAAAGAAAAAAGAAAGAAAGAAGAAAAAAGAAACTTCCTGTTCTTTGTTTTCTTCTTTCTTTCTTTTTTCTTTTTTGTTCTCCTGAAGAAGCTACATACAATTGTAGCGAAACGTCGAGATGAACCCACTTTTGGGTCACTCACAAATGACACGGTCCAAACCCGGAAGACGAATAAACTATAATTACGATTTCAAATCTATAAGAGTTTATGGATTGAGGGCTGCGTTTTTTAGAAAATGTATGTTAAACATTCTTAGTAATGTCCAAACACAAAATCGAACAATTAATTGATATTATTACATCAAAATCTCAAATTACCTTGAATATATTTTTTCTGAATACACAAAATACAATTTTGACACCGCCTAAATAAAATTTAATTCAATACTAAATTAAAAAATACCGGAATTTTAAAACGACTCAAAAGCATTCGTGTAACAAAAAAAAATCAGTTTAAAACGAAAAAAGTTTCGATAAAATTTCCCTATCGTTATGTCAAGTTTGTGAAAGTTGACAAGACCTTTTTGTGACAAGACATTACTAAAAATGATTTATAAAAATGTTTATACTATCAAACAAATTGTCCGCCAGCTCTCCGTTTATCGACGAAACTGAAACGACTGGCAGTGATGAAGATAATGAAGATACCATTATATTAGGGATATAGTCGCGAATCCTCAAGACATTAATTCTATTGTCAAATCAAGTAGTTTACAAATATCGGACCACATTTTCAGAAGAAAATTGTGTGAAAATTGATTGCGTGAAAGAACCCCTAGAAAGAAACCGTTCCTGAACAAAAAACAGAAGCAAAAATGAATTAATTGGGTTTTAACACAAAGAGAATGGTCAGAAGAACAGTGGATTAATGTAATTTGCAGTGATGAATCTCGATCTTTAGGAGTGATGGAGTGAAGCTTGTTAGCCGCCCATGATGTGGAAGACCTTTTGCCTCAGTCTGCTACAGTCACTATGAAGCACCATGTGGGTGTCATGGTATTTGATTGATAACCACTAACGGTGTTTGACGTTTGGCATTTCTTCTTCTTCTTGTAGTGCCTATCCGTTTCGGATGTTGGGGACCATCAAGGCAATCTGCACTTTGCACATTGCTGCTCTAAAGACCGCAGAGATTTGTTTGAGTAGAAGCTGGACAATGCATCTTCAAGCAGAATGAACCACACCGTCATACGGCCAAGACATCCATGGAATGGTTAAGAAATCATGACGTTACTGTCCTGCCTGGGCCTGGAAATAGTTTGGATCTAAATCCAATAGAAAATCAATGGTCAAGGCTGGGTTAGTATTATGCCGAAACCGTAGTGGAAGTTAAGTTAACAATATGTTATTTTGGAAGATGCTAAATTGATTTCCTTCGAAATAGATCTTATTGCGTAGCAGGCTGAGGCTAGTTTCTTACTTAACAAATCGATATGAAGCGACCATTCAAGGTTGCTTTCTACAAAAATACCAAGAAATTTTAAAGAATCAATGATCTGGCTATTATTAAAAATCAATGGTTGAAAAGCTCCTTTATATGACAATGCTACTGTCTTATCTACGTTAAAAGAGGGTAAATTAGAATCGGATTAGGTTTATATTATAAGTAGATCAGAAGTTACAATTGCATGAAGAGTTGCAAGAGTTCCTACAGGTAATACTGGTATCATCAATAACGGTTCGTGGTTCGCAGTTACAGTAAACAGTTGGAAGAGTCAATTTAAGAGACGAGGAAAGTCCGATATACATGTAAACTTTTTCAATTCTATTAAAATTTAGCGCTAGTCTATAGTACCGCTTACTGTACCACTCTTAACTTTATTCTATTTTTTTTTTAATTTTGATTTTTTCGTATCATTTGGTATATTAAAATATTAAACGCCACAACTTTTTCATTCAGGGATTATATATCTAATGATAAATATTAAATAAAAAAAGATATACTTACTATCTACGTTAGTTGATATATTTGATAACACTTTGTAGCACCAATTCATAAATTCGTCCGATGACGGTCCGTTATTATTATTATTATGATTTGTTTTATTCGATTCATCTTTTTTTCACCTTGGCGTTGGTGTTCTTTGTAGGGTTTTTCGCTTGAGACTTTGGAGCTGCACTAAACGTATTTGTCGAATTACTTTTAGTTACAGTGGACGGTTTGTTTGCTCCTTGCTGCTGGTGCGGCTGCTGCTGTTGCTGCTGCTTACTGGAAGATTCATCCCAAAAACCACCTAAAATGACAGTCTATGTTTTTCATCTGGCATAATGCAAACGAATCTGATAGAGAACATAATACAGTACGTTAAGTTTTGGATTAGATGTAGCAAACTACATAAAGCGCTAAAATCGGCAACATTGCCTCGTACGAGGTAATTGTATTTCTCCGACACCTTAGATTTTGACTAAAAATACACTGACCATTATAAAGCGGTGCAACCATTTTTTGTGGTTGAATTAAAAAGATAAAACATAAAGCATTTCTTTAAAGATAAAACCCAAAATATACTCTTATTGAAAATAAAAAATAATTTCTAATAAAATAAGAAATAATTCTTTATGCCCTACAGAAATTATTAAAATATTTGACCTTCTACGGCTTAACAGTATACCAATCTGCCATAAAAACTTCTGCGGACAGATGTAAGAGTTTCTGCTGTAACTGAATTGGAGACTTCTCTTATTCGGTTGTTTTAATTCGTCCAAATTTTGGGCTCTAACCTCAGGAAGATCGTAGATCGTGCTTTCCATCGGTGTAAGATCTGGAGATCACGCAGGCCACTTAATATCACCTGTTCCACTGATAACTCGATTCGGGAAAGTATTGTTTAAGTACTCCCTAATTATTCGAGCGTTGTGAACTGAACAGGCGCCTTGATGGAACCAAACATTCTCCAGATTTACATCAGGAAGATTGAAAATAGTCGTTCAGATAGCCAAGCGGGCTAGGCGGCTGATTCTCATTCGCTTCACTGTCGAATGGTTCAGTGGATGTGGGTTCGAGCCCCAGCTAGGTGTACAGAAAAATAAAAAAGGCTAACGCAGCAGTTTAAAATTCTAGATGAATCTGCGGCTTAGACTAGAATATGCTGGGTGTCTGATCGACCTATGGTGGAGCAGTACGGCACGAGATCAGGGCTTGCGGCTCGGTGATACTCCTCCATAGATCCCTACCGGAAGGGTGTGCCGCCTAAATACCGGTGTATATATGGATATAGATTGAGAATAGCGGGAAGAACATGATTCTGTAACAAATCGAGGTATACTCTACTATTCAAGTTGCCCTCAATAAAGAAATGGACCTATTATGTGGTCTTCTAAAATGCCAGTCCAGATGTTAACTTTTTGAGGACGTTGAGTTCAGTAAACAACACTTTTGTGCTGGTTTTCCCGCGCCCAATACCTCGTAATGGAAGGATTGTTTCTCCCTACTAACGGAACAGGTTCCCTGTTTCTTAGTTCCCTCTGTGTACCCTACACAAATTGGGTTCATTATTAGCCTTCGTTATTAGAGTTTAACAAGACTCCATTCTTCTTCTACTGCGTTTTAGAATAATTAAAATTCTTCTTGAACGTGTCGAATCTACCTCGATTGTTGTACAAATTTGTGTATCCCGGTATTCTCTTTTCTCAGTTTTTTCTGGTGACACTTCTTGAGCGTGACATTTTCTGCAATTTTTGAGGCAATAACAACTCTCAAAATTTTTAATATCATGAACTGACTCTACGCAAGGAATTGGTCTTTCAGCTTAAAAATTTTTTAGCCATTTACTATCTGCATCAAACAAAGCACTTAAACACAATATTATAAAATGGAAACTAGTGATGTAACAAATGTCATTTTTTAAACATTCGCGAATGCGAATATATGCCACCGACATTCGCGAATGCGAATATTCAGTTTTTTTTTTTTAATTTGGCAATTTTAATTGTCTCCGGCAGTCTCATTTGCGCGAGGTGTGTAGGCAATTGGAAAAAGTCTGTCATTTTTAACTGCTTTAAATTGTCCAGTATCATTCTATCATATTTGCTAAAGTAAAGATGTGAAACAGTTGTATTTATTGTAAAGAAGTTTATTGTAGGCGGTTAAGTTTATTGAGGGGTCGTTTAAAAAGGTATTTATTTATAGTCACGTCTGGGCCAAAAACGTAGAAAGCACGTTTTTCGATCTTATTTTCTCTTGTTATAATCAAATTTGACTTGTTATAGAGAGAAAGTTATAGCAGAGAACTAAGTTCTCTGGTTATAGTTCCAATAAAAATTTCACTGGACACAAGTCACTCCACTTGCCCTGCTCTGCTCGTGCACAAATACAAGTGAATTTTTAGTTAAAGTGTGATTAGCGATTTATTACTATGAGTAAATGAAATTATAGTGAAATATGGACTTATTTTTCACCACTTTTCGATACTGAACGAGCTAAATGCAAGCTGTGTAATATTCGCAAAACATTCGCACAAATTTTGCGAATGCGAATGCAAATGCGAATATGCAAAAATATGCGAATATTCGCGAATAATATTCGTTACATCACTAATGGAAACACAGCAAAAATTTTGATTAATAAAAAAAATCCTCCATGGAAAAACGTGGATTTATGCCAAGCGTGGGTTAGAGATTCGATTAATTTCGTTGTATTTGTGGGTTTGCTTTTGAACATGATGTCTGCTATCTTTTGCCACAAATTCTCGATGGGATTGAGGTCCGGGGATTGCACTGACCAGTCTATCCTATCAATTTCATTACTCTCCATCCAAGCTTTAACCAATTTTCCTCTTTGGCTAGGAGCATTATCATCCTGAAAAAATTTTTCTTCGCCAAATGTGTCTTTTCCACTACGCAGCATCTTATTCTGTAGTAACTCAATGTATTTGGTAGCATTCATGATCCCAGAGACAACGTGTAGGCGACCAACTCCTCGAGCGGACATACAACCCCATAATTAAGGCTTCTGTTTGCCAGACTTGTTCTTCTTAACGCAGCGTCATCCCGAACAGAAGTTTTCTTTGGTCGGCTACTACGCAGTCTGTCGTCGATTTTTCCTTGTTCAGCATACTTCTTCTATCTATCTAATCAGCCTTACACGCCCACTCTTGGGCATAGGCCTCCCCTGTTAATCTCCATTGGTCTCTATTTTGGGCGATCTGCATCCAGTCCTTTCCTGCCGTTCTCTTAAGGTCGTCAGTCCATCTCATCTGTGGTCTTCCTCTTTTTCTTTTCTTTTCCCATGGTCTCCAGTGTAGAATTCGCTTATTCCACCTTTCATCTTTTTGCCGGAGAGTGTGACCGGCGAAGTTCCATTTAAGTTTTGCAACCTGTCTTGATATATCGTTCACCTTTGTTTTTTCTCTGATCCATGAGTTTTTTTTTCCTGTCTTTAAGACCGATACCCAGCATCTGTCTTTCCATTGCTCTTTGTGTTTTGGATATCCTGTCGATGTTCTTCTTTGTGAAAGTCCATGTTTGTGAGCCATATGTGATAACTGGTAAGATGCGCTGATTGAATACTTTCGTTCGCATATATTGAGGGAACTTTTTATTTTTTAGAATATATGATAGTTTACCAAATGAGGCCCATGCTAGTCTAGTTCTTCTTTTTATTTCTTCTGTTTGATTGTCCCTGTTCAGCTTTATTATCTGTCCTAGGTATATGTATTCTGCCACCTGCTCTAATTTGTTCTGTTTGACTACTATTTCTAATTGGTCTTCTTGGTTTGTCATAGTCTTGGTTTTACTATAGTTCATCTCTAGAACTACCTCTGTCGCTTTTCTATCTAGTTCCTCAACCATCTTCTGTAACTCTTCCTTCTTATCTGTTATCAGGCATACTTCTTAATGACTCTAATTACTGTAGATTGATTACAGTTTACTGCGTATGCCATTTCACGTCTAGATTTGTCGTTTTTATGGTGAAAAATAATTTCAAAACGCTTTTTTCGTCCGATAATTTAGTTTGTTTGGTCTGGGATGACATTTTGCCCTTTTTATCAAAAATCAAAGAGCGAATAAATATGTTAGGGTAACTAGAGTGTTTATATAGTCAAAATATGTGGCAAGTTTGTCATTAAGATTCAATTTAATAGTACTTTAACGACTTAATAATCACCTCACACCTATTGGAAATCCCTTCAATCCGATTATTTTAATCTTTTCTGTAGAATTTTGAGCTAGTAATTAAAAAAAAACATTAGTGAGTATACCGATAATGCTAATTACAAGCACAAACTTAAAATGAATTAGCGAAAATATACAAAAAACTTGTGTTAAACCCCAAAAACTATAAGGCGCTTAGGTGATGCAGGACTTTATAACACCATTGTAATTTAAAACTTAACGTACTGTTTATAGAAATTGCTGCGAAACGGAAAACTAAAACATTACATTTACAAATTTACCTGAACTAGAGGACCAATTTGCGGACGATGCAGATGCCCACGTCAAATTTTGACTACTCCAAATACTACTGCTAGTATTATTGGTCACCGGAGATGGTTCTTTATCTTTCTGGTGTCGCATTTCTGCTGCTTGCTGATAAATTTAAACTCATTAACAATATAACCAGGCCGATTATTGTGATAATTACCTTTGCTAATTTCTCTTGTTCTTCCGCTTGAATTTCGGCAAGGGACTTTACCTTCCTCGGTTCTACCGGTTTTTTCGCCCAGTTTAAATGTGAGGCAGGTGCTTTCTCTTGTTGAAATTGCTGTTGTTGCTCTTTCTCCTAAATAAATAAACACTTATTACAGATCGATAAAATCAATCATAATGATTAGCATATATTCCAAGGAAATAAGCAAAAAAAAACCTTGATTGTGACACGAATCCATACAGGCAAACGGCAGTTGTTTTGAGTAAAGCTCTTTTACCCTATGACGGTCGATATGCAATTAAGATAATTTCCTGTATTTTATAATTTATAAGAAAATATTTAATTTCCTGCATTTTATGTTCAGTAATATTGGATTTTACTGTATCAAAAGCAAATAAAATGAATATAATATTTCAAATACTCGAAATTACTTGTCGACATCAAATATTCATCAAGGTCTCTATAAGTCTATTTTGCGTAGAATGAAAATTGTACGAATGGTTTTGCATGCACTTGACAAGTTACTGGGATGTCAAAATTTGAATAAAATACATCCAAGGCTTTACTTTCTGTAGAAACTGTATTAAATAAAACCTTGAAACAAATTGGCGCTAAATCACTTCCGAGTTTTCAGAAAAACAAAATGTTTAAACACGTACAGTCCAGTAATTAATACCACAGCTATTGAGAGTACGCAGTCCAGTAATTAGACCGAAGGTACTTTTTCATTTAACTAAAATACACCACAAAGTCAGAATTGAATTCCCGAAACACTTTTTTGTTACTTATTTTTAGCAAACGATTTGTCCTACTCACTGTCTAACATTTCACTATCAGAGTCGTCGCTTTCTATATTGTCTATCCGAATAACTAGAGGCCGGACCTCATCTATAACTCGATCGGTTTGAGAAGACTGAACGATTATGTCTTCCATATGTCTAATACAATTTTGCCATCGTTCTGCCTCTATTTGTTCTAGCGATTCTTTCCGTAAACTAAGAACGCTAGAGTTATCTGTTTTTTTTTATGCATGTTTATCATAAAATTTTTTGGCTATACCCCAAACTAATTCAATTGCATTATAGTGGCAATGGTAGGGCGGAAGTCGAAGAATTTCATGGCCATATTTAAGAGCCATTTGGTCAGTAACAAATTTATTTTTAATTTTGTGCTCTCCACACCTTTGAAGTAAATCGACTTTTAAAAATATATCACTGTGATAAATTTTCTTTTTTGTCAAACAAAACTTTATCTTCTTTTATCCAGCTGCTTAAAAGAAATCTCTCTTCTACTCTTGAGTGATAGGATGCATTATCCAACACTATTATGGATGGACGCTCCAATTTTTTTAACAAATTTTCTTCAAATCATTCTTCAAAAATATTTGCATTCATATTTCCATGGTAATCCCCTGTATTCTTTGTGGATGAAAAAATTAAACTAGCGTCAGGAATAAAACCCTCATTTCCAGCATGAAGTATAATGTAGCGTTTACCATTACCGGAACGACTAGAAGAATAACATTTCGTGGTGCCATCTTGCCAGGATGATTTTGACATATTTCCTTTAGCGAAAATCCAAGTTTCATCTAAAAATACAACTTTTCTCGGACTACCAGACGTTTTATTGTTTATGTATTTTCTTAAAAAATGCCACTCTTTTTATATCGAAAACCTAAATGTTTCAGCACTATCCACGTTTCAGCACTCTCTACAAACTTGTTAAACTAATTTCACACAGTTCCTCGTCTTTTATTTTTTGTAACACAGCACTAATTGTTACATTTATTTTTCTTTATACATATTATATATAATATTTTTAATTGCAAGTTTAATTGACTGGTGCAAATTTAAAGTTTTTGGATGTCGACGGTTTCTCTTACTTTCTTTATTTATTCCATCCTCACCCATGTTCTTAATTCTTCGGAATGTACTCTCTTAAATACCGCAAGCATCGCATGTGCGTTTCTGAACTGCCATAACAGACGTCAATGGACCCATATTATTTTTTTCTAAATTGAAATATCTTTCGACTTTCAGAACTAAACGCCGTTCTTCTGAAGATAACACTCGTTATATAACAATACGTTTCATATGTATTTTATTTTCTGCCAAATTACTCATTCTACTTTAAAGTACCGCTTCACTACACTACTATACAAAAATAGGTACTTATATACAACTACTACACCCTAAAAAGGACGAGGGTTGTACAACAGACGAAACAATTGAATACAAATTATTTAACAGCCAATGCTAAACAAGGATAAAAATGCTAAACAAGGATAAACACTGCATTGATTGTGATTGCAAAAACCGTTCGCAAGTTTTAAATAAGATTTTTGCTGATTATCTGTTTTGCTAAATTATTATATATGTAACACCAAGACAACCCACGACATGAATTCATTTTTAACGATAAACAGAAGTTTGAATTTGATCTACTTTGTCGATAACAGTGTCGTTTACAGAACGAAATTTTTAAATAACTCAGGGTATTTACTCCTTATTTTCAAATAATATGTTCTTGTAAAGGCATAACTTTGATTATTGGGTACACCTACATTATATGATACGTCAGAAGAAATTAAAAAAAAAATAACATGTAATAAATTTAGTTTAAATAAATATTCCGTACTCATACTATTGGATATGAATGCTGATGTGCATGTTTGTTATGTTAATTTTGAAAAAACATTTGACAATGTAAGACATGAAAAATTAGTCCAAATTCTAAAGACAAAAAACATAGACCATAGGGACTTACGATCAACGACTTAGGATAATAACAACTGGAATCAAAGAGCACAAATCGTAATAGATAACGAACCCAGTCCAGAAATTGAAATCAGGAGAGGAGTAAGGCGGGGATGTATTATAACTCCATTACTATTTAATGTATATAGTGAAGCCATTTTTGAAGGAGCATTACTATCTCAAAGTGAAGGAATGATAATTAACGGAAGATCTATTAACAACATAAGATATGGAGATGACACCGTGATTATGGCAAGCTCTGCTGAACAACTCCAATTACTGCTAAACAAAACAAACAGTTTCTGTGAAAAATATGGACTAAAATGAATATAAAAAAGACCAAATACATGATAATAACAAAGAAAACAAATATACCAACAAACATACATTTGGGAAATGTACCGATAGAAAGGATTGATAAAAACTCAATTCTCTGTAACAAAGACCTTAGATTAGAACTGAGAGTAAGAGCACTGAGATGCTACGTGTTTTCGATACAGCAATATGGACTTGAAAGCTGGACATTAAAGCAAGAACACATAAATAAGTTACAGTCTTTGAAATGTGGTGTTACAGGAGGATGCTTAGAATAGCATGAACACAGAAGAAAACTAACACGGAAGTATTGCGAGAAATGGGCAAAGAATGCGAAATAATAAACACAATAAAAATAAGAAAGTTACAATATCTGGGACACGTAATGAGGGGACAGCGATATGAACTACTAAGGCTGATAATACAGGGAAAGATAAGAGGAGGAAGGAGTATAGGAAGAAGGAGAGTGTCATGGTTGAAGAATTTAAGGGACTGGTTTAAATGCAGTTTAATAGTGATGATAATAGTGATGATGATATCCAACCTCGGATTGGGAGACGACACTTAAAGAAGAAGAACACCCAACATTTCGTGTAATAGGACGATTATAAGTTTATTTTTAAAAATTGTATTAACATTTATAAAAAACCGAAATTTCTGATTTATTTTGCAACTTTCTAAGTAACAAATAAAGAAAGACACATTTAAAAACTTTAAAGCCACCACTTTAAAGATTGTTATATGAGTTATAATATTATTACCCTAAAATTTGTTTCAAATGCTTCACTTTTTGCTGATAGACGAAAAAAGTGAAAATTGACCATTTTTGATGTTAATTTGTTAATAACTAATTAAGTTCAAAAAAATCAGCTGTAGGATATAGGTTCTTATTATACGAGGTCCATACTACTCAAAACAACCGCCGTTTGCCTGGTTGGGTTAGTGTCAGGAAAAAAATTTATCCCTGGTCTAATATACACACATATCTATATTCATATACACACATACAGTATTGTGCGAATTAATGGAATCATAGGCTGTTTTTAGCTTTGCAAATGGCCCATAAATTTTCAATGGGGTTAAGGTCAGGCGAATTACCGGGCCAATCTACAACATTAATCTTCTTATTTTTGAAAAATTCCATCATATTCTTTGATTTGTGACAGGGAGCAGAGTCCTGTTGAAGAATCGCTCCTCCTTGGGGTTGACATTTTTGGAGTTGTTTGTCCAAATACTTTTCCAACATGGATTTGTATTTTTGGCTGTTCATCATGCCTTCAATTGGCACCAAAGATCCAACCCCCATGTATGAAAAACATCCCCAAAACATTTTCTTGACTGGATGTTTTACGGTTGGATCAATATGAGATAGTGTAAGCTTTTCATTGTCAGACTTCCTGACGAATTTCGACTGCTGTCCCTGAACTATAAAGTGGGTTTCATCTGTAAATAATACTTTTTTCCAGTCGCCTACAGTCCAATTAGATTTTATAGTATTTTTTGGCCCACAGTAGCCTTTGTTTCTTCATTCGTTCAGTTAGAAGCTGTTTTTTCTGTGGATGAAGTGCCCTTCTAAAGTCTTCTACGAACAGTTGAGTCATGAATCACTATAGCTGATGCTGCTAGATCTTGTTGTAGGTCTTGGCTTGATTTTCTTGGGTCCAATTTGCTCTTTCGAAGTAAAAATCTGTCATCTGCTGGTGTTGTTTTTCTCTTTCTTCCACATTTTCCTAACCTTTTCACATCCACTGATCCCGTTTCTCGTTTACGCTTCAAAATTTTGCTTACTACCCCCCTGACTCACTCCACACGTTCTAGCAATCTCTCTTTGTGACATACTAGTGTGTTCACTCAACGTGACAATCTTTTCACGCTTCCTAGGCGTAATATTAATGTTGGAATAAAACCAAAAACAACACAAAATAGTACAAAAACCCCCAAAACACACTCAAACACACCAACACACAGTAAGGTTATGTTTTCAATGCTTGGTCAGCTGACAACTGTGTAGGTAGTGTTGCCAACTGTGAATATTGAAAAAATGAAAAAAAATTCACAGTGATTCCATTAATTCGCACAATACTGTATCTATAGCCTTCGCAATGGTGATCGCCAACGTCGGATAGTTCTGATATGGCACGCGAAGAAGAAGAAGAATCTATATTCATGATTTGTATAAAATTAACTTACTTGTAGCCTTTGTTGTTGCAACGCAGCATCGAACGCTCGTTTTTCTCGTTCAGCTTTCTGAATCTCAGTGAGACTCAGCCCCATATTGGCATTTGCCTGAGACCACGGTGCGGCTTTAGCTAATCTCAATTGTTCCTGTTGCAATCTCTTCTCCTCTTCTAACCTTCTAATCTCCCTTTCCTTGATCTCTTGCCTGAAACAATACACTGTTAGTCCGCTAGCCTAGCTTTGGATTTTAAGACAAACCTCAATCTTTCTTCTTCTAATTTCTTTTGGTCTTCACTCTTCTTTTTCGCCTCTTCTTCGGCTTTCCTCAGTTCCTTAAGTCTTCTTTTCTCCTCTAACTCCCTCAGCCTTTTATCCTCTGCTTCTTTTTTTGCTTTTTCCAATTCCCTTTTAATCCTCTCGTCCTCCTTCCTCCTTTTCTCTTCCAGAGCTTTCTTTTCCGCTTCTTGTCGCTTTAGGTCCTGTTTCTTCTTTTCTTCAGCCTCTTTCTTCGCCAGTTTCTCTTCCAATTCTTTCTTTTTCTTCAACTCCTTAGCCACTGCTTCTTCCTTTTGTTTCTGTTCTTTCTCTTTATCCGCTTTCGAGGTTTTCGGCTGTAACGCTTGTTGAAGTTTTTCCGATTGAGTCAAGGGAGGTGAGGGAACGGCAGGTACAGTAGGTACAGGATTATTTTGTAAATCCCACATCGACATAGGGACTTCGTTTTGGGGCTGCCACTGCGAAGTGCCGTTGTTGGCGGTAAATGTATTTTGTTGCCACAGCGAATCCACCTAGAACATACAACAAAAATATGAAGATTATTTGGAAACAGTACACTGTCAGTCCCCTGAGAATCGTGGTCTAACATAGAGATAGAGCGAAGGAGCACAATTGATGTATTAAATACTTAATTAAAACACTATAAACACTGGACATTATATTAAAACATAATTGTTGTTCAATGAATCAAACTTTGTTAGACCACATAGTTATCGAATAATCATCGTAAGTGACGGTTACCTGTGGCGGAGTCGACTGCTTTTGTTGTTGCTGTTGCTGCTGTTGTTGTTGTTGAATCTGTTTAAGTAGGCTCGTTATGGGATCATTCGCTTGAGTCGAAGAGATTTGTTCAACAGAACCTCTAGATGTAGGTCTTGGTAAGTTAATACTTCCTCCAATACTGACTGGTATATTGCTCTGCAAGCCTGGTATAGGCAATGCGGCCGAGTTAAGAGTGGGTGTCTGTATAGAGTAAAAAAAATATCAATGAAGATTATAAATGATGTCTCTCTTATATCTCTAAACACTTGTATCTTAACAAAACTTAACTTTTATCTTAAACTCTTAACAATTTATCTTAACAAAAAAAAGTCATTATAGTAGAACATTTCGTACAGTGGAAAAGCAAACGACAAATGTCATACCTGTAAACTGGGCATACTTGTCGATAATCCTTCTGGTTGCGGCAGATTTCCAGGTAGGGTATTACTCAAACCTGCAGGAATATTGGTTGGGTGACTGGTCGTCGGAAGACGGTTTTGCATAGAAAGAAGATTATTCATTTGCATTTGTATATGAGGATCTAAGGTACCAGGTAAATTGGGTTGTTTCTCGACCAATCCTTGTCCTGGAATTTTATTGCCCTGTAAATAATTATAATTTTTAAATAATCATATTTCAATATAGAACAAAGCTGTAAGATTGTATTGAAATCTTGATTCTTTGAGCTAAATACTCTAAAAAGAAACTATAGATCGAAATAACATGGATTTCCCGGAAATTTACTGGAACAACCTATGTTGGTTATGAAGGAAATATACTGTGATATATATTCACATTGTCCAGTATATTAAATACTCACAATAAATAAAATAATCATATTTAGCATCCTAAAAGGTACTTACTTGTTGCATTTGATTTATCATGTGCATTAAAGAATTGGTCGCCTGTGGTTGCTGTAGGTATTGGAGATCTGGTGCTACCTATTAACAAAAATTTACAATTGTTACAAAAGCACTCCCAAATTCAACTAAAATATCGAAAACCTAAAGTATCCCATAGGAAAATAATTTATAAGTGCCTGAAGTTGACTACATTTTCTCACATGACAAATGAAATAAAACTATTATAATTTAAATGGTTATCATAAAAAGTGTCCTAAAAATATTAAACATGTTTTGAATCACATTTTAAGTTATTAATATTATTTACCACTAGATGGCGCTAGTGAAATGTGTCTCATAAAAACCTCAGGCAATCGTTTTCTGATAAATAGAACTGTCAGTTGGTATTAAATGTGTCAAACAATCAACGTTACCCTTCCTTAGGCTACTATTATACAATATTTTCTATTCTCACACGACAAATAAAATATAAACTATGATAGTTTTAATGCCTCTCATAAAAATGTACCATAAAAATACTAAATGTGGGTTTTGAATCATATCATATATATTAAGTTATTATTATTTACCACTAGATGGCGCTAGTGAAATGTGTCTCATATAGACCTCAGGCTATTGTTTTTAAATGAATCTAACTGTCAATAATTGGTATTAAATGGAGCGTCCAAGGAAGGCCTCAGAGTCAACGCCAACGTGGCAGATGGACAGACATTACAAAAAAGCTTCTCAACAAGCAGTATACTGAGGCCGTGTATTTCGAAACTTATGTATAAAAAAGAAGTATTTAAGACTCAAATTTAAAAAATATCATATTCACTTCACACTCATATTATGTATACAATAAAATTTAACTATGTTTGAAAATTTGGGTGAGTAATTTGGGAGTGAAAGTTTATAAACAAATGCTAGGGTAAAAAATGCATGGGTAGCAAACTACCGTCACTTCAAGATGCCATTCAATTATGAAAAATGTATCAAGTTATGAATCCCCAAGTCGAATATGTATTTTGAAAACAAATAATACAATTGTATACCTGTTGCTGTTGCATAATCAGTCTTTGAGCAGCAAGTTCTTGCTGTTGTTGCAGGGATATCGCACTCCATGGTTCGGTGAGAAGTCTGGACTGCGCCTGTTTGAAAGCCATTTGCGTCAGATACTGTAACTGCAGCATATCCGGCTCTGCCGCGGGCATTTTCGTGACGGGGAAACGGAGGCCCGTTTGGAAGGGGTTCAGTCCGCCACACAGACCTATCAGATCACCCAGCAAAACGAACCTCTCATCGCATTGCCTTCGCACTTTCAATTGGTTGCTGAAATATCCAGCCTTGAACCATTCTGCCATCTCCATGTTGGAAAATGGTCCCTGCATTTGACCCTGAAACATATTTTTATTTTATTGATTATCCTTACTCTAAAATAACTACAAAATATATAAACATAGGATCACTTGCTAATAAAATATTAGCTAAGCTAAAGCTAAGATTAATATTTAGAACAAATATTATATTTGGCCATTTTTCAATTTCTACGGCTTCTCGAATAATTCTTGGTTTATAGGCGAGGATGAAGGCTATGGTTCTGGAGTTTTTATAATATTCTCTGCTGTGCTGCTGGCTATCATAAGTTTTCTAAATAATTTTAGTATCTCAAGATGAGCATATTTACCTGTGGATCCTGATAAAACCACTTGTCTAGTATGGCTGGTGCAGCTAAATTTGGGGGAGGTTGTATACCGCCAATTTCAAAACTACTGGGCACTTGTTTAGGTACGTCTTCGTCCACCACCAATTTCAGAACGAAATCTTCTTGCAACTTTTCAAACTCCGAATCGTCAGGCCTAGAACGAAAACTACCAAAATTATTTATTCAATATATTCGGTATGTAATAGTTAAAACAATAGAAGCTAAAAAAACAGTCAACATCGTATAATTGTTAAATCTGTTAAATTATTTGTATTTTGATTGGACTTAAGCTTAGTAATGTCATACAGTAGTGTGCGAATTAATGTGAATAGAGATCGAAATTCAGTTTTCATAAGTTGCTGCTGTGCCTATTCAGTCAACTGTTTTATTAAAAAAAAAACAACATAACCTCAAAACCTTATTAGTATATTGTTCAAAACACGTGCTTTGTGTTTTATATCATTATATTTTGTTGCATCTTAGGTCATGTGCAAGTTGGTGTTATTTTCATTGATTTAACTGTGCACTCAGCTAACCTTTTAATATGGATATCACTCCTAGGAAAAGAGAAAGGATCATAACACATATTGAGCATACACCAATGACTCAGAGGGTGATTGCAAAGGAGTGTTTGGGTGCAGTAAACAAAATATTTAAAAAAAAAAAGGAAACAGGGTCAGCTGAAGTGCAACGGAAAGGAAAATGTGAAAGAAAACGGAAGACTACTTTTCGAGATGAAGCCTTTCTTTTGCGCGATAGCAAACTTCATCCTAGAAAAACAAGTTATGACCTCCAGCAAGATTTAGAAAAGGCTAGAATAAAAATTCAGGACTCAACGGTACGCAGACGTCTCTTAGAAGGAGGGAGAAGATCCGTGAGACCACAGAAGAAACAACTTCTGACAGCGCCTATGATGAAAAAATGACTAAATTGGGCAAAAAATACGCTCATTGAAGTGCAGAAGATTGGAGAAAAGAATTATTTTCTGATGAGACCCACTTCCTAGTGCAAGGAGAGCGATCAAAATTCGTACGAAAGGCAGCCAATGAGTCACTTTCAGCTAGCTATATTAACCAAACAGTTTAACATCCCGCCACCAAAAAAATGTTCTGGGGCTGTTTTGATACTCAGGAACTGGCACTCTTATTCCTATTTAAGGTATGATGAACAGTGAAAAGTACAAAGCCATGCTAGGGCAACGCTTAGCTATAGAGCTTGACAAAGTACAGGCCGAAGGAACTGCAATTTTTCAACAAGATTCAGCTCCGTGCCATGTATCGAAGGTTATGATGAATATACTTCAAGGATAATAATATCACCCTTCTTGATTGGCCTGGGAATTCACCTGACCTTAATCCTATTGAAAATTTGTGGGCAATATGTAAGGCTAAACTGCAAAAATTTGACTGTATGACAAAAACAAAAATGGTGGAAGCAGTGATTAAGGTGTGATTTAGAGTTGAAGCAATCACAAACAATTGCAAAAAACTTGTGTGGATTCCATGCCTAGAAGACTCCAGGAAGTCATAAAAGTAAAAGGGGGACATATTAAATACTAATTAATGAAAAAATCTTATGTAAGTGTACCTAAATTTACCTTTGGCCTAAATAAATCATACTCACAAATTAATTCTGTTTGTTCTCATTAATTCGCAAAATACTGTAGTTTTAAATAAAAAATATTGGAATTACCAAATTTATAATGAACTTGGAATGTCAGGAATTCGTGATTGTAAAGTAACTGATCTTCCTTAAATTCTCACGTTCCTTAAATTGCACAATGATACAAAAGAACATTAAATCTTCAAAAAGTGTCCGCCTAGCACTAACCATTGGTCCTTCGAGCCGGATACTGCCTCTCAGAAAAACTTTAATTGATGAAAATTTTAATTTTGTTTACAATAACACTCAAATTCATAACGTCAATCTAGACGCCATCATTGGCGAGATAAATTTTATATTCTGCACTTATGAATACTATGGCCACGACGATGTTAATGTTGAATATTGTATCATACAACGAATCTGTTACTAGTAAACCTTTCACGATGATAAAAACTTCTTATATACTCCTCATATATTACATTATAACTAAATAAATACCTTGGATTATCGTTAACTGGGCCGTTTGCTATCACTGGTGGTTTCTCACTAATTGATAACTTTGGGGGAGCATTGAATTTGGCCCGTTCGAGCGGCACATCTTTGTCGATTTTTTCAGGTATATTGTTGGGAACCAACTTTTTCCTTTCTTCTGATGGAGCTTTCTGTTTTAAATTATGAAGTGTGTCTTCTTCTTTTTTCTTCGTTGAGTTCTGAAAATAATTCATGAGATTAAGAATAAATTTAAATAACTCTAAAATAGGAGTAACAGATGATCATACCATAATTAAAGATCGTTTGAATACATTTAATTATGTTCTCTACTACTCGTAACTGTGATATTTTTGACTGGTGTAAACTTACTGGGATTAAGTTGACTTTTTTGTATTTAAAATGCAACACAACTCAACTGCAAACTGAAACTATGATAAAAATTTATTATAAGTGATAAAAATAGCCTACCTCTTCCATGGTTTCCTTTTTTTGTGAGGTATCTTCGGGTTTTACAAGGGACAACGTCGATTTGGATGAAGGCATCGGTGGAGGCTGTGATTTCGTAGAAATATGTTGTTGTGAAGTTGATTTTTGAAGACTGATTATTTCTCTCCTATTGGGTGGTTTACCCTCAGGCTGCAACAATATAATCAATCTCTACAAATCTTAGTATAGTCCGATCAAAAACAATGTGACCCAAAAAAAATTAAGGAAGAACGAACATTTAGGAATAATTAGTTCAAAATGTGAACTACTATGTAAGAAAATATTTACAATGCTATTTAAAAAAGATTTAATTTTCATTAAGTGCAGTTTTCGAAAAATATGAAATGATCAAAAGTTTTTGTTTAAGCAATCATTAGAACACAAAAAGATTTAAATAATTAAAAAAAATAACAATATAATGAAATAAAATAAACGATGTTCAAAAAAAAATATCAATTTTGGTTTTAATTAAAGCAGAACATGGCAAACGACCTACCTCCTAAGTCAACAATACCAACACCAAACACATCCTCTTAAACATCTACCTATTTTCAAATTGTCATCCCTTCGTTTTTTTTTATAAGGTTTTGCCAAAATTGTGTATTCTTTGAACGCACTAGTATGACTTATGATACACTAGTATGACAAATACTTTCGTAATATCCTGTACCTGTAATAACTATTGTACATAGAATAAGGTAACTTTACCTGTTCGTCATCCGATCCGTGAAAGGCACCCTTTTCGTCGAAAGTCCCTCCTCCTTCAGTAGGATTCTCCATCGCCCATTCAGGTAGGTGGTCCTCGTTTTCCCAAGATTTTCGAGAAAGCGGGCCTCGATTGTCATTCCAACTTGTGCGGCCACCTCTTTCTGGAGGTCCTGTTCTCTCTTCAGACTCCCCATCCCCTCGCCAACTTGTTGAGCGCCCTATTAAAATAAGTGTTTAATGTAGAAAGTATCGAAATTAGCTAGTTAATTAATTAAAATAACAAACTAAAAAAATTAAATATGTGGTTGTGCATACAATTAGCAATTGATTGGCATAACACATAAATTATTGTCAATTCAGAAAAATTCACTTAACACTTGTTGAAATGTGTTAATTGGAATATAGCAAGGACAGTTTCTACCCTTTACTGCTCAAAATTTACTCGATTTGTGTAGTAAGGTCTATAACAACGAGATTATATTGAATACGTAAACCGTTGAAAACGTTGAACTAAAAGGGGATTATATTTAAATTAAGTAAAATACTTACCCCATTTTTCATGACCACCACTTCTTCCTGGCCCACTCACACCACTTCTCCACCCATCGTCTTCATCGTTTCTGGCCCTCCTCCAATTATCTGACGTGGTTCGCTGATTAATATACTCTTTTCTCGGACTCCACTCGGGTTGCTCCCCGTTGCCCCAACCCGAGTCGTATCCACCCGTCGGCCTGCCGTATTGGTATCCCCGTCCTCTACTGATTCGACCACCCCTTTCCAAAGACCCACCTCTGCCACGTATTGGTCCAGACACTACTGCATTCGGTCTGGGCTGCCAACCTCTTTGCTGTATCTGTTGAACAATAACCTTTAATATGGATTTTGATACAAATCCTATTCAACAAACTTAAAAATCCGTAAAAAATATAATGGGTGTTCCAAAAAAATTACGTTAAGTTTGAAGTTGGCGCCATTTTTGTCATTAAGTCATGTCATAACATAAATTAATTACTGCATGAACCATTTCATCATCGTTTCTTGAAGTATTGGCCGGCCTGATCATATCATTTGATGTTTTCTTGCGATTCTTTTGAAGCTTTAAAAAAAGAGTGTGAGTCACTAATTTAATGTTTTAGCATGAACTTTTCTCAGGTATTTTAGGTTATAGACTTTATTGAAGGTTATAACACGACTTCTAAAACTAACTAAAATATCTAATACTGTTTTTTTATTTTATGTAAGTGTGTATATCACATAACATACACTTCTTGGATCACATAGCTACATTAAAGACGTCACCGCTGCTTCACCCTATTCCATATACAACTTTATGAATTGAACTTACATTATTTTTTCATGATTTCTTGAGAAACCCAATACATGTGTAAACACTGATACTTACCTCTTCATCAGTTGCTGGTGATAAGGCTAATGGTTGAAGACAAGTTTCCGAGAATAGACATTTAAAATTGGTTAGAGAGACGGGAGGTTTTATATTTTTGTCAAATAACGCCAACATCTCTTCTCGACCATATCTGAAACAATTTATATTTGTATTGGCAAGCGGTTGAGATGCTTTGTAAAAGAAATTGCAGAAATCGAAAATCCAACTGTAAGAACATATCTTCTTGTATACTTATGAACAGAAGAGAAAAATATTTTTACGTAAATACGAGGATTAAACACTTTATTTAAAAATATTATGAATGATTTAACACTATCACCTTCTAATTAATCCCTTGGTAACTTCTCCCAACGTCGTTTCCACTGCTAGAATGACCCCGAGAACTATATGTCCTTTTGCTCATCCAACGATATTTCAATTATGTCAAGCCTCTGCCTTTACGAGGATCTGGTAAGTTGGGAAAACAAGGAAAAGTCCGCAAGAGCTAGATCTGGTAAGTTGGAGGCTTAGAGATTTATTTTTTGTCTACATAACTACTTTAGAAATACAACTTAAAAGCATCACAAACTTAGAATCACGAAGGCTTAAGTATTTGAGTGATCTCTTCTTCCAAAACGGGACGAAAAAGGACTTAAGGTGCTTAAGGAGACTTAAAGCTTGGATAAGGATAATTTCTGTAGCTGAACAGGAAATCGATATTAATAGTGGGAAGGGATATAATTATATTCTCTGCAACTGTAATAAAATTTTTTATTTATATAATCTGGAGGTAAACCAGGTTCTACCGAACCCGATCTTGTATTGTTTCTTTTGAAATTTACTATGTTACAGCAGTCTCTAGGTTTATTACTGGAATAAGTAATAAAATCACAGTAAGCTGAATTTTTAGCATTTTGTAATTGCCGATTATATTCAAATTTTTGTTGTTTATATAATTTGAACATATCGTGATCCTTAGTGGCATCTACAATGTGTTTAATAAGAGAAAGATTAGATCTGTGAGATCTTAATTCGTTATTTTTGCATTGCACATGTGTTTTTTTAGTAATTTGTCATACTTTTTTAGTGGAAAATGCTTTAATATTAAGTTGCTATAAGTTTTGGTTAGAAAAAACGTCCAAAAATCAGGATAATTATTGGTATCATAGAAAAAGTCATCTTTGCACTAGCTAGTACACGTTTAAGCTTCTGTAAACCAAAAGAAGTAATAAACTGTTGAAATATTTTATTAGTGTCAACAACTTTATGCTCAGAGTTAATAAACGCTTATTTGTTTACACATTTGTTTACAATAACACCTCGTTTCTTTTTTACCCTAGCTAATTGCAAAGCCGGAGATGCTCAATGATTATAAATTTTGTTCAGTTTGCCAGGGCTCCAAAAAATATATGACGTCATAAAAAATTACATCTTCAAGAAAAGCATTGATCATATGGACTTTATTTGAAATACACTGCAAATTTACATGAAACATGTTTACTATGCCTTGTCAAATTAGTTTATTTTGCTAAGAATTTCTAGGTTTCTTCTTCTGTCTTCTTCGAGATGAGTTACGGATGTCATTTTTGTGCAAAAATAGTAAATGAACCAGTGCGTTGTCATGATCCAGTACCTTGGCATAGCTCTGGGTTCTTCATTCATACGGTTGTACGAAAATTTCTCAATGAGCATGACAAAAGAGGTCTATGAAACCGTACTTTTGGCAAAAAAGAATTCTGTTATTACCAGGCATACCAATATGTGATGGAATCCAAGTGGTATTCTTTTGTTGCAGTTGATATAAATGACACTTAATCAACCATAAGAATGTATAAGCCAGCTTATAAATATTGTTTAAATGGTTTACGGAACTAAGGGAATTGATAATTAACACAGTTAATTGTTTTTTCTGTTTTACAGGTCAAAAGAATTGATTTTTTTATGAAAGTATTGGTTTAATTTTACGAGATCATTATTTAAACATCGATTAAAATGTCAAAATTAACAAAAAAGTAGTCTTTTAGATCCCTTAAAAAGGAGTCCACAAAAAGTTTTTTTCTTGAAAGATTTTTAAAAATGCTTGTTTTTTAGAGTTTCTAAATAATATTTTATATATAATTTGTTTAAATAATAAAAAAAAAGTTGAAAGCATTTATTCCATTTATTTTTCTATTTATTTATAAAGTTATTCTATTCGTTTATTAAAAAGTTGACTTTTGCAATTTAAAAAATAAAGTTACGTAGTTACCACTCTCATAGTTATTTGTTCTGTCTGCTGATTCCAAGTGAACCTTGCGTCTAATATAAACCCAAGATACTTTACTTCACTCGCTAGATTTAGTTTTGTACCAATTAAGCTTAGAGGATCCAAGCCCTCAAAATTCCTCCTGGAAAATCTCATGATTTTGGAGTTCTAAAGGCTTATGTCAAGTACTACATTTGAAGTTCATTATGTAACTACAATCAGAGCCTGTTGCGTTTTATCTCTGACTACGCTATTAAAATTTCCATGGGCAAAGATAACCAGATCATCCACATTGCTCAGGACATGATGCTTGAATCTAGTTATCAGACCATCCATGATGACCAGATTCCACAAGAGAGGAAATCAACTCCTCCCAAGAAGGTTGGATTCTATTATAATAGATTTCATATAATAAAATATTCTACATAACAATTTAGCATGTTTAAAATAACTTTGAAACTATATTTTGAGTAAATCTCATAGTTTCTCATAAAATATTTAAGATAATTCTTTTCAAAATAAAAGATAATAAATATAACTGTCTATACATAGAGATGATAATTTTATAACATGCACAATATTGCAAATATGTGGCAATATTTTCAATTAAATTGTATCACAGATGTTGCATTTGATAAGGAAAGCAATGATAACAGATATTAAAAGCAAAAATTGAACAGACATTTTCCTCATTAAGTATTTCATTGATACAACAAAGATAAAAAATTCATAGACGTGAAACCAAAACAATTTTTTAATAAATGAAACCAGTTTATGCATAATATTCTTGATCTACAATATAAGTTTAATCTAAATTATTATTTTTTTTTTTTTAATATAATATAGGCAAAAACAATGTGAAAGTTTAGATACTACAAATAAGTAGGAACTAGAAAAACTGTATAATTAATCATCAACTGGTTCATAAGATCACAAAGAGTTAAATGGATTGAAGTTGTAATGAGTACAGATAATAAGAAGATACCAAAGATGGTCCAAAAAGAGGCCCAATCATGAAAAGACGGAACTGATGACCAAGACAAAGATGGTTCGATAATTTACAAGATCTCAGAAAAATAGGTGGTTCATGGCGAGAGAAAAATGACAAACTTTGTTTTTTGAAATTCACAACAAGAACATATATACATAATTGTTCCTCTTTACATTAGGTGTACATTAGGTACAATACATTAGATTAGGTACATCTTGTAAATTAGGTGTTGAGGGAGGTGTTTCTAGCTTTTGATGAATCTTTTCCATTATTTTCTGTTCTTCGTCATTTGTGTTGCTTCTTGCCAAGATTTGCCCTTATTTTGTAACAACTCTGCTATGTCGCTGTTCCACTCTTTTATTGGTCTGCCTCTTGTGTTTTTCCCTATTCATTTAGCTTCTTACACTCTTTTCACTTGCCATGTTATTGTCCATTCCTATTATATGACCAAACAACTCTAAGTTCTTCTCCTTTATTGCATCAAGTATGTAATGAAACTTTAAGTCTGTTTCATCTTTCTTCATTTTGAGTATGTCTGTCCTTGCTCCTATCGTTCTTCTGAGGTATTTCATCTCTGCTGCTTGTATCCTACTCTGGTGTCTTCTGTTTAAGATTCAGTTATTTGCTCCGTATGTCAATGTTGCCCTATATATTATTTCATATACTGTCATGTTTGTTTTGATTTCTTTGTTGTTAAGGAACCCTCTATTTAGTGCTTGGAATATTTTTCCTATACCCTCTAGTCTGCTGTTAAAATCATCCTCGTTGTTATTTGTTATTTATTATCATTGACAGAGATCGAAGTTGACGTAGTTGCCAAAGTATAAAAAAATCCTGATTCCATTTTAAATCAAATAATTCACATAATTATTGTAAAAGTATTACCATCTCTTTACAATGACTATTTAAATTCTTACGTGATATTTTTGAAATAAAACACACTAAATTTGTTCTAAAAAGAACAGATTTTATTAAATAAGTAAAAATATAAAACAAGAGGTATTCACTTTAGAATTCAAAATAATAAAGTACAAAAAGTGTCAACATCGCAACTCTCAAATAAATGTTACCAATTTAAGACAAATTATCACCTTGATTCGATTACAGTTACACTGTGTTCCGAACAAATGTTCTTCATAAAAACGCTTTATAATGCATTTATACAAATTAAATGAAACATATTATTGTGTATTTCTTTAAGTTAACATTAATAGAAATATTTAAATATTATTTCTACACGTATATAATAAAATATGTCTAGTGGCTGTAATGCCAATGTACTCGGCAAAGTGATTCTAAAAAAAAACACACCTACCGCTTAAATATTTCATGTTGGTATCATGTGACCTCACGGACTATGTCACGGATGATGTGCAACAGTATGTAAATTAGATGAAGTATGTTTAATTGAAAATTAACCCTACCTCCTCCCCCACTTGCCTTAAGGTGAGTTTCTTCAATACTTATAATTTTAAAATACTTAATATTTTAAATTCAAGGGAGTCTTACAAAAAGTATATGTGATAAGGTTTTCCCAGGTAAAAATTATATGTAATCTTGATTTAGGTTCTAGTCTTATTACATTGAAAGGCAGTATCTTAACTATAAGTTTATAGTAGTTTTAGAAAACAAGGCAAAAGTATATAGAAAGTGCCAGTGAAGTTAGGTAGAAATAAAGGAGTTTTGTATTTGACAGTGTTGCCATGTCATTTTAATAAATAATGAAAGAGCATGTGATATAATAATTAATTTAATGCATTATTTTAAATTGAAATTTTGTTTACTGAACACACAAATTCACACAATTTAAATGTATTGACGATCTGAACAAGTTCCAGTTACTTACTAACTAATACATTAACAAAACTGTATTCAGGTACCATTTCATCCCAAAATTATATGAAAATAGTCATAAAATTGAAATCTACTGAACACATGGCCTGGAATCTTATATGAATGACTTGGTTCATTCCCCCATCACTTTGACCCCAGCGAGTTAATAAAGAGAAATGACAGCCTATCTCTCTCACGAAGACTTTAACCAATCATAAACCAAATAAAATAATCAAACGAAGCAATGTCAATTCTGTCAATCCAAATTAATGACAGATCTTCCGTTTGTTTACAAGTTTTCAATTTTATTTTATTATCTTTAACTTTCGTTTGCATTTATTCTTAGTAATTTTAATTTAAATTTGGTTACTTAATTTTTAAAGTTTATTTTGAGTTACCTATTGTAGCAAAGAATTTTTGTGTTGTGCTAGTAACAAAACTAAACATGGTGAATTATTGTATTGTTCGTTGTGTACAAATCATGGAAAAATTACAAAAAGAATGATAGTAAGTTGTCAGGAAGCAAAAAATAATAGTATTTAACTTCTGCAAATATGTGTAATAAATATTATGTAATTATTTTATAACTGTTTTATCTTAAACAACAAATAAATATACGTATATCTAGAAAAAATTGTGCATCTTATATCCTTATTTTCCAATAAATTTTAATTAGTAACGAAATAGCCCACAAGAGGCGCTAAAGGGTATGTATGTAAGGGGTTTTCATTCAAATTTGCCGCCAAAAGATGATTAGTATTGACCCCAGCTGCAAGGGGCCTAATGAACGAAATTTATACATTGAGTTGCCTATCTATTTCTACTATTATATTATTTATCTATGTACTGAACATCTGTTGCAATCTGACAATTAGTGTTTTGAAAGTTTTGACAGTATTGCCAAGTTTATCAGCTAATCTACCAATGGTCAATTATAAAATTTTACTCTATTAACTAACTGCAACTAATATCAAAAGAAACAAATAATCATTAGTTCATGTTTTATATAAATTAAAAAAAAAATTAAAAATACCATATAATAAATAATAAAATAAATTAAGATTCCATAAAATAATATAATAAAAATGTACTGTTTCAAAGCATATTTGACACATAAAACATATACATAATAAGGACATGACAATACTGCAAACGCAATTTTGACAGTTCATTTGTGGCTAACTTAACCTGCACTTGTTGTAACCTGCACACTAACCTGTTTTATTGCAGGTGCTATTCCCATTTTTTAGTTTGTTACATAATAAATCATCCTATCTGTTGTGTGACATGTTATTTGCAAGGAGTATTTAATCCCAAATGTTGCTTTTCTAAAACTCAGTTTTCCCTTCAGTTATAAGCTTAAAATTAATGACACTCACAATCTTTATATATTTTTAAATATTTATATACAGCAACTAAATGAATTTGGCCTTTCAGTAAATTTTAAATAAATGTTGGACTGGTTCTTACATCAAATTCAGACATTATTGAGTGTTTTCGCATTTGTACCAATATAGAATTATTTAATTTTAGCACTACTCTCTCTGGTGAATACAAAAAATCCATTCCAGGAAGTAAATAAGTACCTTAATAATATGCTTACACAACAGTTTGCGAGAAACAGTGAGTTAAATATGGTACACAAAAATTTATAAAAAATTATCGAAAATTATCTTTACTTTATAATTGCATTATTTCAATCCCATTGAAGATTATGATTACACATTACACTACCATACCCCTGAAAAACATCCAGACTTGTATACAAAATAGAAAATAATTAAAGTTCGAATTTTAAATTCGAAATACTGCAAGAACTTTGGGAACATGTAGTTTTATTCAATAATTACATATTACATGCACTATTAAAATTAAATATTACTGCTTTAAATTTTTTATGACATTTTATGTTATAATATAAGCTGTCATTAGTATGAGTTAAATAATGTATGTATTTTGATGTAAATTACATGTATCAAAACTTCATTGTGTATAAAATATTTTATGGTTATGTACTTCATTGATTAATGTTAATTATTACTTGTCAGTTTTAAAAAAAGCACATGACATAAGTTGACTGAATAATGAATAATCCCACACATTTTAAAAAAGATTTGGGCTCTTGTTATTTTGTAAAACTACAGTATTCTAACATTAAATTGCAATTGACTATTTATAGGTTTTTTACACTACAAGAAAAGGTTATACAACATCAGAATAAATATGTCAGTGTAACATTAAAATTTATTAACTGTTTCTATACTCACTAAATACAGACAAATCCTTTAAGATTTTGAAAACTTATTTACTTTAGTTCTTGTACATTTACATCCTTATTTGTAGATATGTAGTAAAATTGGAAAAATTTTGGGAAGGTTGTCTTATGAAAGTTATAATTGTAAAACAACCTACCGATAATCAGCAAGCTGATATTTTGTTCCTCCACCAGTTCCTCCTCCAGTGATACCTTCAGAGGACATGTTACGAATCCAATCTGGACCAAAAGTCATTGAGTCAGTCATCCTAAAAACATAAACACACTCAGTTCAAGCCTGTGAAGCGAATGAACTATATTATATAAAGTAACATATAGAGCGTTACAGCAACAGTGAAGGCATATGTGGGTATGAATGAGTATAGGTACACAAAAATGGAGGTAACTATTTTTAGACACACAATATTAGTGGTAGAAGTTACTACCGGAAGTCGATAATGAAAAAACGGACGATATATTCACGTTTATTCCATAAATCACAAATATTTCACACTGTTTTATACAAAGCATGAAGTGCAAGGCCCCAGGCATAGACTAGGTGGCACATTGATTTTCCCGATTAGGCTCGTTTTATAGAGAAACATGTATATAAAATTATTGAACATAAATCCTCTATTGGTTTTATCACCAATCATTTTCATAGTTTTCCTTATACGATTGCATTTACCTGAATATATTTGTTTTACACTTGGTAAAATGCGAACAACATAAATGGCTGCAGCGAAATTGTAGGTTACGGCGCATGTGCTCACAATCTAGTAACTAAAATGTCAAAATATTTAAATTCAAAATTCCACTAGATACACTTTTATTTTTAAATTCAAATAAAAATTGATCAAATTTAAATGGAGAACTTTATCAATATTTGATCAATATCGATATAATTAATATTTAAAGTTTCGTATAATAGTAATGTTATTATTTAAAATACATTTGTCCTAATAACCATGACGATAATAGTATTAAAAAGGTTTCTTAGGTTTATGAAAGAAAAAATTATAGGCTATTAAAAGACCTATGAAGTGCTTTTAATGATAACATTATATTTTAGTTACTATTTAATGTTTGTACTATGTAATTGCCTGTTTTTAAAAAATACTATAAAATACTCCCAACATTAAAATATTTTATTTAATACCGGTTTGCAAAGAAGAAGAACTGACATTACATAATCTGGTTCAATCGAAATCAAGGACAATCCAATGCAATATTTGATTTGATTTTATTGTCCAATTGTCCTTGAAGCAATTTATCTTATCATTCCTAAACATAACCTCAAAATGTCTATAATGTAAACACGTAAACATGTGAGTTGTGAATATTGTTAACAAATCTAATTGTTGAATAGAGCGAAACTAAACAGTCAGGAAACAATGGCACAGAAACCTTCATTTTCCGACCTTACCCTTAATAATTGGATAATTAGGCAATGTGCAACAATAGGTAGAATTTTACTCACTAATCATAGATATATTGATATAGTTTTATATTATTAATAATTTCAGGTGTAAAATCCCCTACGCCCATCCAGTTAAACTGTATTCCACAAATTTTGCAAGGTCGGGATTGTGTGGGTGCAGCAAAAACTGGTAGTGGTAAAACTTTGGCTTTTGCTTTACCCATTATACAGAAACTATGTGAAGATCCTTATGGTGTTTATGCCTTAGTTTTGACACCAACTAGGGAATTGGCTTATCAAATAGCAGAACAGTTTGCAGTTATTGGAAAACCTATGAATTTGAGACATTGTGTAGTTGTTGGAGGTAAATTTTCTTGTTTTTAAAAACCTTTATTATACTTGATTCACTGTTCCCAGTCCCACAGAGTTCTGATGCATAAAAATAGAACCTAATTGTACACTAAGAATAAAATTATTTAACATTGTTTCAATGTATTTTTCAACCTTTGAAAGTAAACAATTCTAAATGTTATAGTCTTTACATTATTAAAATTGCACAAAGAATAATTTTGTTTTATACTTTTGTAGGAATTGATATGGTAGACCAAGGAATACAACTGTCTAAACATCCCCATATAGTTGTGGCTACACCAGGCCGTTTAGCAGATCATTTGGAAAGCTGCAAAACCTTCTCTCTTTCTAAAATCAAATTCCTTGTTTTGGATGAAGCAGACAGGCTTCTTAGTGGCCAGTTTGACGAACAGATCAAAACTATATTTAAAGAATTACCAAAAAATCGCCAAAATTTGTTTTTTTCAGCAACTATCACAGACACTTTAGAGAAATTAAAGGAGGTCAGCAATAAAGACATGTTCTATTATGAAGCTCCTTCCATCTCAGATGCTGTTACTGTTGAACAGTTAGAACAAAAATATGTGTTATGTCCTAAAGATGTTAAAGATGCTTATTTAGCTCAAGTGATTAGAGAGTTTAGAGCTGAAAATGAAGATGGCAACATTATGATTTTTACAGATACTTGCAAGTATGTATTACTGGAAAGTTACAATTTAAATTTCATATCCATATTAATTCCAACCTTATTGTCCATTCATCATCTCTATGGAATCAGTAATAAATATTCTACAGTGTGATATCTAGTGTCAACTTGTTCTGTTGCCTAGTGTTTATACAATTTACATGGACAAGATTCACATTAAAGGGCCATCATCTCTTGTAATAATATAAATTTGGACCAAAAAACTATCTACAGGCATTATATTATGTATATGAGAACAATAATATTTCATATTCAATATTAACGGAAAATATTTCATATGGAATACTTATATAAGATTTGATAGTTTTCCTGAAATCTGTTCAAATAAATAATAAGTTGGATCAAAAAAGAATCAGTAATCATATACAACTTAGATATCTTACAAATATAAGAATATAGAATTTTTTTTCAATAAAAGATGGTTTATTATTTTTTTTTTCATAAACTTTTAGTGACATCACACATTAAAATATATTAACATTACAAATTAAATATGTTGATCAGGGAGAAGGATAGGCCGGGCACTCCACCACCAGTATAGGGCTCAATGTAAAACTGGGTGTTGAAAAACGTTTCTTTTATTTATTTATTTATTTATTTATATACGGCATCCATTTACTTACAATTTTTACAAAGTTACATCTTAAAAACAATATATTATTAAAATAACAATCACAAGTTTTAAAAAGTTACACCTTAACAACAATAAATTATTAAAATAACAAACACCTCAGAATAATACAAACATATAAGAATAATACAGATGTACAACCAACTTATTGTAAGATATTTTTTAGTTGTTTTTTAAACAAACTAATTTTGGAGTCAAAAATATCTATTTGTCTTGGCAAGCTATTAGCACTCCGGACCAATCGTGTAGTTGGTTCATTGGTACCATAATTAGTGTGGTGAAATGGCACCGAAAAGATTTCTGATTGTCTGTTGCTTCTACTAGGAACTTTAAGACTAACAAGCGATAAGAGTTGAGGACAATCTATAAAAGCATTGATAACTTTGTGTAAGAAACATAAATCCAACAATGTCCTCCTTGACTCCAGTGTTGGTAAGTTAAGACTATCTCTTACCCACTGATAGTCATATTTCTCTCTCCTGTATCCACTCTTATAGGCTGCTACCCTCAAAAATTTATTCTGGACTCTTTCAATCTGTTGAATGTAACAGTGGTATGATGGGGACCATACAACTGATCCAAACTCAAGAATGGGCCTAACGAGACCACAATAAAGTCTTTTAAAAGCTCTATAGTGTGTTTCCTGTTGAATGTCAGATGGTAGACTATTATAAAATTTAACACACACATACAAAGGACTTCTCTCTGTTATAGACAATCTGTGAAGTGGCAAATTCAAATTAATTAAAAACATTATTAATGGGTCTGGCCACCTCGCACCCACAAGCAGCACATCTAAGTTAAAATCACCAGCCAGAAAAATGATGGAGTCCTTGTCAACTCAATCACCAAGTATTTGGTCTAATTTGTTTATTAAAACTTGTGGATATTCTGTTCGATAGATGGGTAGATTTACAATTTTCTCCTTATAATTCCCGCCTCTGCAGCAGACCACTCAAACACCATTCTTTCTGATAAACTAGAAATATCTTCCCGTGCTTTGCAATAAATGTGTCTTTGATATATACCACACTGCCACCATGCTCCCATGAACTGCTTCTACAATATGAAGAGATCAGTTTAAAATTCCGCACATTGTAGTCCCGCAGTTGTTCTTCTGTTTTCCAGTGCTCACTTAAACAAATAACAAAGCATTCATCATGATCTAGGATAAAATGAATGGAATTAATACATATTTTAATTTATTGCGTATTTAAGTGGATTACTGATAATTTCTTTTGGTGTGTGCCGTAGACTGTCTTTTGACACTGGGGTGCCTCTGTATATTCTGAAAATGGTTAAAAATTACACCGTTAGGCTATAATTCTTGCTGTATTAAATGAGGTATTTTTAGTTCTGGAACAGTAATTTTAAATGAACTTTTGTACTTATCTGTCCTGGTTTTCATTTTTTTCGCAGATAACGTTTTCATCCAGTTTTCTTTATTTTAGATAGTTACGTATTTCCGGGCTTCCGTTTTTGGATCGAGACCTGAAAGGAAAATTGCCATATGTTTTGTGGCCACACGTAGGATACTTCCAGCATTCTCATTGGTTCCCTGGAGTGGATCTGATCGTTCAATAAGTGTTGTACGAGTTGTTTTGTAAAAACTTCTTTTTTTTTTGGTTTCCCATCTATCATTTTCATCTTCAATCAGCTGACGGTTGATATGTTTAACAGGCGTCACGGGTGCAATTGAATTGCTTGATATTCTTGGTTTAGGTGGCAGCTTAGACAAATCAATAGAACAAAGGAGCTGTTCTGTGACTGCGTTAATTGAGCTTGTAGTCTCTTTCACATCATTTTGTTCTTTTACAATGGATGGACTTTTTGTTTTATTTGGACATTTATTTTATTGTTGGATTTTTATTCTGATGTGTTTAGTTTGTCAAATTGTATTTATAGTATGTTTTCCTCATATACATGATTTTAATTATCATTAATTTATAGTAAATCATATTTTTTATAAACTTGGGATATAGTGACTATTTTTGTTTTAGAAATTGTCAAGTACTCTCAATGACCTTAAACGATGTAGGATTTGAAAATGTATCTCTCCATGCAATGATTCCCCAGCAACAACGCCTAGCTGCCTTGGCGAGATTCAAGAGTAACACAGTAAAAATGCTGATAGCAACTGATGTGGCGAGTAGAGGTCTTGATATACCTACTGTGCAGTTGGTCTTAAACCACACTGTTCCAAAAGTCCCTAAAGAATATGTTCATAGAGTCGGTAGAACTGCTAGAGCTGGGAGAGTTGGCAAAGCTGTTACATTAGTCACTCCTTATGACATCAAATTACTGCAGGCCATTGAAGAGCATATTAAGACAAAATTAGTAGAGCTAAAAATTAATGGTAAGACTTTAGTTGGAGATTTCTCAAGTTTTGTAGTTTATGTTGAATATATAAAGACTGTGATAAAGTCTGACAACATTGTATTTTTTCTGTAACACTGGTGTGTTCTACCACAAAAAATTCCAAGGGTTTTTCCAATATATTTTGAGCGTTATCATTGAATAGTGTCAATAATATTTTAAAAATTAATTATAAGTATATAATGTTATCTTGAATATTGTTGTAATTTATTGTATTCACATAAAGCGTGGTAATTATAAACAATACTGTTAAACACTACAATACTATTAAATTTAATTTTTTTATGGCGCTGTGATTATAATTATAGTGTTAACTTTTAGATTCTGAGGTAGGAAAGATCTTTGCTCAAGTGTCAGTAACAAAAAGTGAAGCTTACTTGAACTTAGATGAAGGCGATTTCTATGAGAAGAGGTTGATTAACAAAAGAAAGAAATGGATTTTGGAAGGTTTAGATCCAGATGAAGAGGAAGCGAAACTATTGAAGAAACATAAAAAGAAGAAAAAGTCAAAACGAAAAAAGGAGGAAGCAGTCCTTTAAAATAATTTTATTAATTAAAATAAATATATTTTTTATATTAATGTAGAGTGTGTTCTTTATTTTTAACCTATATTCTTGGTATTTCTAGCTTCTATGCTAGAAGTAAATGAACAAAAACTCGAAATAAAAATTCTGGCTGGTATATTTTTTTCGTGAATAGCAGTTCCCAGTAAAAGTTAAAACAGCATAAGGGACAATATACAACCCTCAGATTAATGAAAAATGTAAGTTTCATATTTATCTGAGATCCTTATCATCACAGCTAATGTTCCGTAAGGAACGTAAAATTTTATTATGATCTACGCAATAAAATGCCATTTTGAAATCGACAAAGCGTTGGAAAACATTTTATTGGACGTAACACTTCTTCAACAGTATTTGAGCCCCTTGATCCCCATTTCGACTCTGAATCCAAGAATTTTAAGTACTCTGATATAAGACTTATTAATCACAAATCTGCACATCGTTTGGAGTTAGTTTGTTGTGGTAAGGGAATAAAGATAGATTTCAACCATTATTCTGGTATTCCCCAGTATCGTAAATTATATTAATCAAAATTACTAACAGAAGAATATTATTTTCTCTCAGTTTGAGTATTTCAGGATAAACTTCGTTCGGTTCATGGCTGTCAGTTCATTGTTGGTTTTTAATTATTTAATGACATATTCCACCTGGACTTTATGAATTGGTGGGCTTTAATTAGCATTATTTATCGTAATATTCATTCTTTCATGCCGAAACAGGTCTTGTAGAAATATTTTCCATTCTTGTATTTTACCTTTGGTGTCATAAATTAACTTACATTTCTCTTTCCTTCGTATTTCCTTATTCAAATGATTGTATTTGACTGTCTTCTTATTTTTATATTTTCTTGTTTCGTCCATCATATCTAAAGTATGCGATGTTATCCAATTTTTTTCTTGTCCTTGATCTTTTATTTTCTCGTAATTTCTTTCCTTGTGGATAGCGTTACCCAGGAAGAACTGAGTAGAGACTTTACTATCAGACGTTTAATAGTGTCATCCAGGTTTTATAACCACTTACTTTCAGACAAGAGATGTGATCCCAGAGGTCTCTTGTTAGTCATTTTACGTCCCAAGATAAAACTAGTAAGCCCTAAATCTAAATTAGCAATTTAGTAGTCGTTAGTAATGAAAGGAGATTCTTGTTTGGAACAAAATCTTACATGTTGTCAGAAAGGCAACAAAATTACAACAAAATTATATTTAGATAGATTATAGTTTGAATTAATAAATAAAATAGTATTATATTTAAATTAGAAGAACCCATTCAACAAAATGTGTTTTTGCTGAATGGGTTGCCTATACATAGGCGTTTAGGATATCATAAAATCTAAAAAATTACAATGTGTATTAAAATTGAGACAGCACAAATGATAGTGTTTTAAACATTAACATTATTAATAGACGCAATTAGATACTGAAACAATTTTAAAAGATTAATTAGAATTATGGGCATTCGTTTAGAATAAACTAACCAATCAGATTGAGACATGTAATTCTATCATTGTAGAACGTATGTGGCGGATATGAGCAGATACTTTCGCGCTCGTACAGTTTTGCCAAGCCGATCAATTTTGATGGAAAACTCGGATAAAATAATAATCTTAAAATCAATGAATTTTGATATAATTTTTTTTTATAAACTGTTTTCTTGTGGCATGTCTAATTTTTTTTTTATTATTGAGTTAATGCCTCGACAACTAAGATCATTGGCATGGTACAGTCAGGTACCTAGTGTAGTATGTGTGTAAATATTATATTTATATGGAATTGAATTAACACATTACTCGATTTAAAAAATATATATAGTGAGTTTTTATTAGGGGAGAGTGAGTCACGTTCTGACGTTTTTCATATTTTTAAAATGATAGTCTTCTCTGTCCTTTTTTATATTGTTAAATCGTGGACCTTTCAACGAAGATATATGCAGAAAACTGGAAGCATTTGAGCTGTGGCTATATCGGAGAATACTTAAGATCCCGTGGACTGACCGAGTCACAAATGAGGAGGTACTCAGAAGAATGAATAAGAACCCAGAGGTACTGACCACCATTAAATCTGGAAAGTTACAATTCTTCGGACATATTATGCGAAGTGAATCCAGATATGCTCTCCTTCAAGCCATTCTGCAAGGAAAAATATTTGGAAAACGAGGTCCAAGAAGTAGAAGAATATATTGGTTAAAGAACCTCAGAATCTGGTTCAATACAACATCTGTGCAGCTTTCGCTCAGCTGCAGATAAGATAAAGATTGCCATGATGATCGCCAACATTCGTAACAGATAGGCACATCAAGAAAATGAAAGAAGTTGCTGTCCCAGAGCTCAAAAAAGGACTTTAATTCTTTCTAGGAACTTTTTTCTATATCTATTTTTTACTTGTTTAATATTTTCCTTACGAATATAAGGTTTATTTTATGTTGGTACGTTTAGTCGTATTATTTTCTTGAAACCTCCCCAATACTAAAATTTAGCTACGCTCGTGATGACTAGTGCATCTGCAGACTGTGAAAATGATGTGAAAGTATTATACACGTTTCTTCTTGTTGACATTGCATCATATTGGGACATTCCGGATTAGAGATTTTTTAGCTTGGACATTTGGCAACATCGGAGAAGATTTTACTATCACTTATTGCATATCGCTATCGGCGAAATATTCCGAGTTCTTGTTTTGTTTTGTTTTTACTTTTTAGTCATCAGTCTGATCTGATCAGTCATCATGTTTTAGTAAAACAAGGATTATTTATATATTATTGATAATGTGCTTTACGCAGAGATTATAACATTTAAGAAGTGGTAAAACTTTAAAAGTAATATTATAGTGTTATTGTGAAGTCTGTCAAACTAATTTGTGATTCCCAGAAAAAGGCTGATACCTATTTTTTTATAAATTAGCTAGCAGACCCAATTCAAAATAAAAAACTTAGTTCTTAGCTGTTCTATCAAGTTATATGTGTAGTGTACAATAAGGTGAGTTATTACAATACTTGAATTCAGACAGTCTTGTCAACTTTCTACTATTGTAAGTTAGAATTATCAATTTTATCATATCTTAACTATGATAATTATTATTTATTATAACATGTTTATCATGTAATTTATTGTCACGTTCAACAAATGAAAAAACACATTTTCGGTATCTCCAGTTCTAGTTGATGGATATTGATTTTTTTAATTGATATTTACTTTTTGCGTATATTAAAAATAAGCCTAATATGCAATGTTAATACTATTATAAAACTTTGTAGTATATTATACCGTTGATTGAATAACCCAAAACCTAATATATTATGGGATACTAGGCTTTATCGGGGCGTGTATAGAGGGTTTTATTGAATAAACAATGTAATTTGTTTACAATAATTTAAAAAAATGTAATCTAGAATATATTTTTTTTAATTTTAAAAATTTCAGCTGTTCAAATATGAAAAATATGTCTTCTATGAGTACTAGTTTAAAAGTTATTCTACATGTTTAAGTAACTTTGCAAAACTATTTTAGTTTATATACTTAAATGATTTTTTTAACTTTTCTAAAAATAATAATATCATTTGACCCTCGATTTTAGCTTGGAAACCTTTTTGCTATATTCTTTGGATTGACCAGATAATATTTTTCTTAAGTTATAAGATCCTATAATAGGTATGGCAGCTACGAGATATAGAGTATATTTTATTGCTAATTTAAAATAACCCTCACAACGTGTGCTACCGATCTCACCCTCTTAAATTCACAAAAAATGGAAATAAACTAGTTTTAAGATAAGTGCACACATGCGTCTTTAATTGTTAATTTATTGCTTAGTTCTGAGCCTTTTATTAATTCACCGTATTCCGAGAAACAATGCGTCGGCCTAATATTAGCAAATCATAAATGTATAAATTACCATGTATCAGTAAGCTGTATGAAAGGATGCTGTGAGTATGCATAGACTAAACGATTGATAGGTCAGGTGGTTTATCTCGGAGGCAATTTGGTTTTTATAAAGGGAAAAGCATGATTGATGCAATCATGAGTGTACTCGAAGCATTGCGCAACAGAGGGGATGAACATCGCTGGGCGGCCCTGCTGTTGTTTGATGTTAAGAATGCATTCAATACGCTACAGTGGAACAAGGTAATGAAGGCAATGGAGAAGAGAGAATGTCCTGGTTACCTGATGAATGTGGTGGCGGAGTATCTGTCTGACAGAAAAGGATTATGGTGGAAAAGGGCACGATCGTGGACGTGACGGCCGGGGTACCCCAGGGTTCTGTCTTGGACAGGGTTCTCTTGATGGAGTTATGTACTGTGAATACGGAGAGGGTACAACCTCTTTCGCATTCGTCGCGGATGACCTCGCTGTACTGGTAGTGGCCCGGGCGGGATGAGCCAGATCTCAAATACCGGGTTCGGAACGCAGGCGCGTCATTGTCGCAAAGGCAACCAATCTCGACAAAGATTGTTACCTTGGCCGGCCAATCATAGCGCTCGTTATTAACTTCGATGTCATTGGCCTCTCGGCGGAAGAGCGTTGCGAATTCTCAAACACGATGTGTTTAAAAGAGCTTTACGAACGGCCTTACAGCGGCCATTCCGCTTCCGGATCGCTGATCCACAACTAATGAACTGATAAAAGAATCTCTTAAAAGTAGAAAGTAGAATCCGGATACAAAATGAATTAATGGAAACAATAGATGTGAAAAAGGAACTACGCCAGGGAGACGCTCTATCATGCATCTTGTTCAACATCGTACTCGAGAAAATACTGAGGGACACAACAGTCAATACTCGAGGAACAACTATTAATAAAAGCGTGCAAATACTAGCATTTGCAGATGATGTTGATATAATCGTAAGATCAAGAAGAGAAATGATAGAGGCATACAACCAAATAGAACGAGCTGCACAAAATAGTGGCCTTAAAATCAATCAGACCAAAACAAAATATATGCAGGTAAGTAAAAAACGCAGAAATAAGACAGCCACAAAATATAGTCCAGGCTGTGAGGCCGCTCCTGTTAAGAAAATGTTTCTGAGTC